GAGGCGTTTGGTCCGAGGACTTTCTTTAGGGCTGTGCCGTAAAGCGGGAGATCCAGCGCTTCGGGCTGGGTGCATTTGGCTTGAGGGGGACGAATAAGCGGTTATCGGAGGGAGTCTTGTTTGTGAGGGCAATGGTTGGAGTAGAGGCTTTCTGAATGTAGGAGGGCTTGGGGCCTATAGGCATTGTGGGTGTACTTGTGTGAGTGGTGGTCGGGGGGGAAGGAGGGGAAAGGGGGGTGACAGGCGGAGTAGTAGCTCCCCTAGGGGGGGGATGACCAGTAACAAAGGCGTCGAAGTGCTGTTCGATGGTTGCCTTAAACTCAAGGCAAAGGGAGGTGAGGAGTTTTCGTGAACTCGGTGGGAGAGCGCGGACTTCCTCAGAGCCTAGGTAGGTATCTAGGAGTTGGGTAACTGGGTTGAAGATGGATTGAGCATCGTTGACCTTATTGAGAAGGTTGCTGGCCTTGTCGGAAAGTGTTTTAGAGAGGTTTGGGGGGCTTGGGGTAGCCATCGTTTTGAACAAGAGTAGAGAGTTTTCCTATGATTAAATACAAACGGGGCATGCCACGTGACCCGGAGGTGTGAGGCGTCACAACGACGGTGTAACGATACTGTACTGGAGGCAGCGGCTGCCTAAGGTTTCATCGGGTTGGTAGTTGTGGGTTAAGTGTCACGATTCATTAATTCACGTGACCTCGAAGACCTTGAGGACCTTTTGGACCTTAGGGTCCCAGAGGTCCTCAAAGATGATATAGGGTATATAAACATTCATTTAGTCTCGTAGTTAAGGAGCTTTGTGATCAACTTAATTATCAATTAGTTTACCTACCTTCTACTTGATCTAGTAACGAATTCACTTCCAAGTGAATACCAGTGATAAAGCCTTAACGCACAACTATTAACGAGATGAAACCTCAGGCAGCCGCTGCCTCCAGTACAGTATCGTTACATTAAGGCTTTATCACTGGTATTCACTTGGAAGTAAATTCGTTACTAGATCAAGTAGAAGGTAGGTAAACTAATTGATAACTAAGTTGAGCACAAAGTTCCTAAATTATAAAACTATTCTAATTATATATTCATCGTTTTTTTGAATGCTAATTATATTAGTTAGCTAGCAGAGCTATCATATTATGTGATCTCTTATTGGCCTCAGGATACTAATCCTGAAACGATTCTTATCCTGGGATAATATAGTTTTTAGGATAATTGTCCTGGGACAAATATTATCCTAGGATACTTTATTCTGGGACGCATAACGTTCTAGGACACTAGTCCTATGCCTTCATGGTTGCCTAATCGTTTTGTCCTAGGATAATTATTATCCTGGGACACATTTTATCCTAGGACACTTGTCCTAGAATTCCTTATCGATAAGGGAACCGCGGTAAACAACAGCCTAAACCTCCGTACTTGTTTTTATTGTATAATATTAGTCGCGGTTCGTGACAGACGGCTATCATCAAGCGCCGCGTCACATGACCGACTTAAGGTCACGTTACCCTAAGTTAGTCATGTGACGCGGCGTTTGATGATAGCCGTCGTAACAGTGGTCTCCCCACCTTAAGCAAGCACAGACATCGAATCTGATCGAAAGCACGTGATCAAGGATTCCCACCTTGATGGGACGATAGAGGGCAGTGGGATGCATAGTACGAAGGTCTATATAACTGGAAAGAGTTTCCTTATTGTAGAGCTTCGTGCTCAAGATCAATCATTTAGTATACTCTACTATTAGTTACGAATTACATCATTGTCATTACTTAAGTCCCTGCTTGACGCCTAGTTATAAACCACCTCGAGAGCCTAGAGTACTTCCACGTGATCTAGACGGCAAACCTCGTAACATTATATACATTTAAGATTATTTAATACAACGACCTAAAAGTGCTCTATATTATTAAATAATACACTATACTCCATCTAATCCATAAACTAATAACTTCCTTCGTCCTCCCCCCGAACTACATATTCGCTCCTCGCCAACCCCACCAATCACAAACCCCACACTCCATACATCTTCCCCGGCCTCCCCTTTCTTTTCCCTTCCTTGTACTCTGTACTATCCCTTTCACCGCATTCGCAATAACCCCCTCCACCACCTCTCTCTCAAACCACATAGCATAGTTCTTCACTCTCCACATAATACCTCTCCACTCTCTCCACACATGCATGCAGAGTACATATGGTGAAAATAAAAGGGGGGCGGGAAATAGAGAGTGTATTTGTTTCCACCCTACTCCACAGTGCACACTAACCTAGATACTCCACTTTCTTATATTTCCCAGATTTCCAGATTTCCAGATGTCCAGATATCCAACTCGTCATAGTACACCAGGTAAGGTCAATTGAAATGAAATGATGATGAAATGATGAAATGACGAAATCGAGGAGATTGAAAAATGAAATTTTTTATTCTGCGGGATTTTTTATTGGGCTGGTGGATTATGAGATTGAGATTGAGATTGGTCGTTAGCAGTATTGTTGAAGAAATTGTTTGTTTCTATCTCTCAGACTTTAGATATGGTTGGATGTAAGATTAGAATTTAGAAAAGGGAAGATTGAGGGACGGTATTGTTTGAAGAAATCAGATAGATCAGAAGAGAAGAAAAATGTAAAGGAAGAGTTCACTTTAAGAATTGAGTACTTCTCATCATAAGCTATTGAACTACTTCCTATTCCTTGAGTAATAATTCTGGAATGAGAAATTTTGTGATTTGATATACATGCCCCCTCCTGTTTTGGATATCACTACCTAACACAATACCAAGAACCAATGCTAATAATATCAAAATAATACTTCATGATCAATTATCATTACCATCATAAACGCCCTCTAGAGACACCATAACCTTATATCCTCTGGGCTTCCAATTCCAATTCCAATTCCATATCCATATCCATATCCAAAACCTCGTCCAAAATCTTGAACACCATCCCGTATCCTTATTAATCGCCTTGCCGTTCTATGAACCTCCATGTAAATTATCCAATAAAAAACGTTCGCATATGTTCATAATCATGCTGCATTCAAACTGCCGCTTCACATTTCAGATGAGGTTCTACTTTCACTCATCAATCTCCTTGTGGGAGTAAACCGATCCGGGGCTGTCACTGCAGCAGCTGGTCTTGCAAGATCCAGTTGTGCTTGGAATGTTTCGGAGTATGTTGGAGGTCCCAGAGGTGGACGTGCTGATGTACTTCGACTCAGCGGCCTTAATTCCTCATTGTGATTCGACTCTGCTGTACTTGTGATCGGTGGTGATGTGCCTCCTATAGATGTACGAATCCCCGAATTGCTCGCAGTTGTGGCAGTTGTGGCAGTTGGTCGCGAAAGTTCCGCGGATAGTCTCGACGCCGCGCCCGATGCATCGTGTCCCGCAGTATTACTGTTATTACCCGGAATCGCCGCAGTTGGCGCACTAAGTGCGCTGTCGGCAGTGCAATGTTCTTCATTAGAAATCATCATTGCGATTCCATCTTCACTTCTCAAACTAGGCGGTTTGTCACCCTCCACATAAGCCGGAGGTGCCTCACCCCTATCATCCAGCCCCTCTTGTCTTTCCCTATGCCCACCCATCGTTGCCATCGTCATCCCCATCAGTCCGGATCCCCCTCTCCTGGGTCCGAATCTCGTTCTAAAGTCTGTGAAGGCTTGTACATCGCGTGCCAAAGCACTCCGTCCATTATTTCGTTGGAGCTCCGCCTTGCGCACTCGACGTCGAGTTATATAGAGAAGAATGAAGAAGAGGATAACCACGAAGACGGCGACTATCACGAAATAGTAGTTGTAGATATGGCTGGAAGTATCTTCAACTTCCGAGCTGGAGTCGGATGGGTTCTGGTTAGGGTTTTGCGCGTTGGAGTTTTGAGGGGTGTATGATGGAAGAGGATCAGGAGTAACATAACCGTGTAATCTGCGCGTAGGACAATTTGGGAAAGATTATCGACAGTAAGATGAGAGCTGAAGAGAAAGGCTGGCTGTTGCATTGGCAGATATTTTTCTGATATCTTGATGTCATCTCTAATTGAGGACGTTATTTTGCGGAAGGAAAGGAACCAAATCGCTTGAGGAGGGATAGATATAGCGGCGCTTAGGATATAGTACTCGTCATCAAAAACCTTTCTATCTATTGAGCTATTTATTGGACTATTTTCGGAAAGATCGCAAGTAGATCGTAAGTAGATCGTAAGTACGTAGTAGCAAGGATAATCTTTGCGGCACTTTGTACGAGTACGAGATGAAAACTACAAACAGCAGGTTGATGAGCAGAGAAAGGTTGGTGGGCTAAGAACAAGAAAGAAATATTAATCATATTCAAGCGCGCCAGGATATGTCTTACAATATGTACTTTTTACTAAAAACCAAAGAGTCTTGCGCCTTCCACTGCTTACCTCACTGTACTGTTGCATTCTACTAGGTATACAAAAGTTGGATGCAGTTGTGCCCCATCCGAGACTGCCCGTGACTAAAAATCATCATGCCTAGAAAGTTTATCTCTGAATGGACCAATGTGGAGAAGAGTATTGGGAATAGTTCCCGGATAAACGGCTCAGCGGGGATTTCCTCGCTCCGCTGAGGGGCCGACTTCCATTTAATCGATTGAAGATTGCATTTAAAGTGTTCGGAAAAGAGTATATACTAACTACATACCTACGTAGTACGCAGAGTATATATACCGGTATCTTTTGGCTCCAAAATAAACAAGGATTAAGAACTAATAATTCATCCCATCATTTTTGTTACCTAGAAGGAAGAATTCCGCAAACTTCGGTCAAACGTTATTATTTCAATCAATCCTGCAGGTAGGTACTTTCAACACACCGTACTTCCTGCTCCAAGCCAAGCCAAGAACATAAAGCGGACAAATACTATACAATATTGGGCAATGAGTCAGAAGAGTATTGAAATGGGCAAAAATAATCCCGCAAAAATAGGCAAAGCGAAGTTTTGTTGTTCGTCGTGGCGGGGTGCATGCATGAGGTTGTGAGGCTGAAGATTGAAATGCTGAGATATATGGATGACTTTGGAAAGGCGAAAAATGAATGGAAGGGATAAAAAGGATGAAAGAGAATGATGAAGAAATATAGATGAGATTAATATTTGTAGCTGGAGGATGAGTTATTTACGATTTCGGTGAGGCGATGGGGTTGCGCATGCTGAAGATCTCGCAGATGTTTGTTTGAGTACCAAGTATCGCTTGGAAGGCTGATTATTCACCATCAATTGATGATATGGATATTTTGTTTAGAAAGTGTTACTACAAGTTGTCGCCGAGCATATCTATCCTATGTTTTCCTGGGTATATGTACAGTCCTTTGGCAAGGTCCAGAGTACTGTTCAGACTGTAAACCGCCAGTGTCTATAGCGCATTGCTTGAACCGTCTATTCACGACTTTTTCTTTACCTGCTTGCGATCATTTGTTATGTTTTACACAATTATGTACCTTTGACAAGGCTACACAGCAATCATTTTGGACATATTTTACTACGGTCATTGGACCTATCCTAGAACATTGAAATGGGACATGTACAACTAATATTTCGATTCTGCCAAAAATACTGTGCTCAATCTTGATATTCTGTCAACTTATGATATTTGAATCAAATCCATCGGTCATAACAGTTGCAGCGAGACTGAACTGGATCGATTCTCGACGAGGTCCTTTCGATGCACACAACTTGGGTCAGATGCCGATCTTGACTTTGCAGATGTTTTCATTACACTGTTCGAAAGGCTTATGACCAAGCATTTTTCTAGAAATTCAGTGGTGACTCGTCGAAAGTAATTTCATTGCTGAAGTGATGATGATTCGTGGAAATCGGCTTTGATTTGGAGACTTCGGACGTGGGAACCTATCGTGATAACGGTTAGGACAACCCTCCGACCCTTGGCTGGCTTTACTAGCTTTCAAATGGGAGATCAGAGTTGGATTTCTGTTTCTTGTAGAGGATACCGAGATAGAGAAAATTATGACCGTTAAATCCATTGAATGCCTTGGCCGAGGTCTAATTCATCGAAGGTGTTATGATACTGAAGAGAAAGTAACCATAATATCATTTCAGTGAGACCAGAGGGTTAACTACCAAAGTGCCATCATTTTCGCGGAAGTGGCGAAAAGCGGAATAGGCTCAGGCATGCCTAAAGGCCCTGTGTCACTACAACGGTACCCCTAACAAGCTCTTGCTATATCCCAAAGTTAATATGTGTATAGGCATGTGACAAAGCATTCAGATCACAATCGCCTGCTTGGAGGACAGAAGGACCCTCATTGTATTGACGACAAAATCAAGAACTCCGGCATCCAAGCTCAAAGCACCGTGATAGCAGACTTAAGATTGCTGGTATCCCGTGCTCTTTTGCACGAGTTAAGACATGCGTGCACACACAATACTAGCATGGAATTTTAATTAATCCATCGCAGTTTAAAAATTACCCTCCGTGCAGAACAGATGACGTTGGCCAGAATAGGGATGAATGGTGGTAAGAAGGTGTCATCACAAAGAACAAAAATGGAGCACCGGAACATGCGGACAACTATTGTGAGAATTGTAGCATCATCCTAACAGGTGAAAATAGATTCAAATACATTATCCATCTTACCTGCCTTTCTGGGCTCTATATGCGGATTACCAATACACTCTGCCTTGGACTGATGGAAGAGATGAGCAGAACGCGGTGATAGTCGGTGAGTTGAGGATACAAGATGGGAGACTTTGGAGATACACTGATATCACAACTCGAATGAGGAAATTGATGAAAGCGTTCAAAGCATAGAAAACTGGAATAACACAGCTACAAGTGATAGATTACCGAATCACACGGTGATAGTAATCGCGGCTCGTAGACCTCGAAGATCCCAGTCTCCCTTTATATCTCATCTCAATTCGGAATCATGTTTTAAGCCGTTGATCTTAGGTAAATCTACGATTTCTTGATAGCAGGACATCACATTTACTCCTGAATCTTTCTGATGCGCCGGCATAATAGAACTATGAGACTTTCACTTTCACTTTCAATGTCATCATAGGGAGGGATATTTTGGTCTGCAGAGGTAGTTTTGACCCAATAGCTTTGATATATTTAGATGGCAATCCATCAAAGTTTTATGAATAGATGATATATGAAGGCAGTTTTCTTGTGATGCCAAGAAATGTACACATCCAGAAACCTGTATGAACTGTTTGATGGAGGTTACCCTAATAAGGTTAATGGAATTCTGCCGATATGTCGCTTAATTAAGCTTAGACGTTCATATGGGCAGAACCACTTCACTGGCAGAACAAAGGCCGTACACACAACTTATTCCCTACCAATATCAATAAGGCTTTCTTATTCGATACATGAAAATCACGAGAGAAGCCATTCCGAGAAACCAAAACAAGAAGAAACGGTCTATAAATTCATTATGCCACGAGCTATCAGAGGTATGTATAATTACTATATCTTCACAATATATTTTCCTTGCTCCACAACCTGAACTCTTGACCACAACAGCGTGCTAGCCAATATCCTGGAACACTCCGCAGAATACAATGACAAAATATCACAAGTGTGCATTTCAATTATCTATTAAAAAGTCTCTGGGTCATACATACGCATATATATACTAACATAAAACCAAGGTGTCCTCGTGGAATGCGATCCATCTATCAAATCCATCGTCGTCAAAATAGATGCCGATTCATCGCATGCGTATATTGTCGAGGATTTAGATGATGAAACTCTAGTCATCAAAGAGAATATGTTGGGGATGTTGAAGGCGCGTTTAGAAGATGTACGTATTCTTATTTACATGTTTATGGTTTATTTTGTATGACTGACTTGGGATCTGTAGGCGCTTAAGGAGACGCAGGTTTTGGATGATTCGGGCTCTGAGTAGTAGAGGGAATCACATGGGTTAAAGGCATTGGGGTAAAGTAGGGTTAATGGCGTTCAAGACAGTGGGGATTGGGAGGCATGCTCTCAGCCTCCGGGGTATGGAGTATCTACGGCATCAAAAATTAAGCTTCATTGACTTTGCAGCGAAATTCACAGACTTTAGTCCTCTTGCTTGGAAAGCCTCAGACGGCCAGTGTGTATTGATATTGTTTTTTGAGAGGCTTCAACTGTCTCCATCTGATACCTGAAAGAGTAGATGCTGACTCTCCCGAACAATGTAGAACGGACGGAATATTGTGACCACTACATAAAATCACAGACGCCTGTTCTCCTCCCACATTTGTCGATCTGGAGTGTAATATTGTACATCTCCATTCGTCTACGAGCTTAAATACCAGCATGTTCTATGATACAGTCTACATTTCCTCCTTCTACGCATCCGGTGAGGTGGATGTGGACACACTAGGTGTAGTTTCGGCAGTAGAACCGACAGGTATCGAGTCTAATGGTATCTTTCTTCTTGGTCTCTTCAACTCCTCCAAAGTAATCCCATCTAGCTTCGTAATTCCAACAACCGGAGGGTCCCCCTTCTTGACAAACTCATATTGACCTAAAATCATTCAAATCAGTATGTGAGAACGATGTGAAGATCGTGATTACTGACCTGGCATCTTGTTGCCTGCTAATCTAAACGCATCTCTTGCTACCTGTTCGTGCACATCTCCCTTCAACTCGAAAATAATCTTGCTTACAGCAATTCTCGAAGCCCAGTGATCAAAGGAACCCTTTCCTTTACCTTGACGAACCTATTAAGCAATTAAACCCCATCCCTTTGACCTTGATAGATTCTGGCCCATGTGCTTACCTCATTACCACTGCTATACACACCAATTTGAGCAGCAACTCTTTTGTACAATCGATACCTCATACCCTTCAGTCTGACCTTAATAGCATCCTCTCCAACCTTCAATTGCTGCGCACTAACACGGCGATGATGATCGCACATTCGCAAACCATATTCACCCCAAACTAAAGTCGTACCTCTAGCTGATCCTCCAGTTGGTACACGAGGTCTACCCTTCCGCGATCTCTTCTTTTCTGGTAATGTAGGCAGAAGCCAATTGCCTGAATTAACGGCTGTGCTAGAAAACGGACGGCGGGACTGAGGGGAAGTGCGGTTTGAAGGTGTGGAGAAAGCTGATGCTTGAGCTAAAATCGGACCAAGAGGTCGAACTGTGTTGGAAGCTAATGAAAGCCTTCCAAATTGAGCAGTGAAGCTCTGCAGACTTTGAGGCTTCATGGTGGATGGCTGTGGACGTTACTGTCGACCAACTCTAAAGAAATCTTGAATCCTCATATTCAATGTTCAATAAATGAGCCTAAGATTTGGGGCTGCAACATTTTTGGGGAAAATCAATCTAAAGTGGCAACGCGTTACTTCCGCGTCGGGTCGCGTATTCACGTACCGTAGACCGTAGGTAACCTTATCAAAAAGATCCAAGCTAATTTCACAACACCGTTTTCTTCTTGCAATTGCTCCCATCGACTACTTGATTTTTCATTGAACTCGTGGTATTTTCACAGAGAATCACCACTGTTTCCTCCCAGTATGCCTGCGGATATTAGAAGCTTCTTTGGAGGTAAACCTGGAACCTCTACCTCTACACCTATTCGAGCAAAGGAGAACAAGGAGGAAGATTCTAAAAAAAAGAAGAGCAGTGAGTTTGTCAGACAGCTTGGTTTGTCGCATCATACTGATGGGATCTAGAAAGTCGTAAAATCATTGAAGATAGCGATGATGAAGAACCAGTGTATGAATTACCAAAATAATCTTGCACAGCACATACTAAAGTCACCCAGGTCAAAAAAGCCCGAGCCGAAAAGAGCTGCGCCTAAGAAATCAATGTATGGATTATTCATTTTATTTCTCTTCTGCATTATTAACCCAGTGATTCAGAAAAAATGAAGAGCCTGAAGGAAAGGAAACAACCGCGGATGACTTCTTTGCTTCGAGCAATAAACCCAAGACCAAACCGGCAAAATCAACCCCCATCAAATCAAATCACTCACCACCCGAGACGAATACCCGAACATCTTCTCGAAAGAAGGCATCTACAACCTATCAAGAAATTAAAGACGAGGACGACTTCGATGAGGACGATGATATATTTGCAGCAGATGTGAAAAAAGCAGGCAAGCGCAAGGATGATGGTTATGTCGAAGATGATAGCGATGATGAGGTGCTACCGAAACCCAAGAGAGTTGTGTCGAGGTCGAAGCCTGCACCAGCCAAAAAGGACAAAGATATTGAAATGATGGATGTGGGTGACGACGACGCTTTTATTGTGCCTGATGATGATGAGGATGATGATATGATGATAATTGAAAAGCCCGCAAAGAACTCTGCTGCGAATAGCAAGAAGCGTAAATCTGTTGATTTGGAATCCAGTGACGAGGAGGATGTTCAACCTAAAAAGTCCATCAAAAACAAAAGCTCAAAGCCACCTCCAGCAAAGAAACCCCGTGCTCCCGCAAAGAAAGCAGCGGCTCTAGAGAGCTCGAGTATACAAGCGATACTTGACAGCATTCCAACCGTCCGAGCCCCGACCCCTCCACCGAAAGATGACAGTGTCAAATTCAAGTGGCAACCTGGTGGAGGCGGTAATTCTGCCGCTCCACCAGCTGCAGGTTGCGCGGAGATTCCTGAAGGTGCAGAGAATTGTTTAGCAGGTTTGACTTTCGTTTTCACGGGGGTGCTCAACACAATTTCAAGAGATGAGGGAATTGAGCTCGTCAAGAAGTATGGGGGTAAAATCACTGGTGCCCCAAGTAGCAAAACAAATTACGTTGTACTTGGAAGCGATGCTGGCCCGAGTAAACTCAGGAAAATAAGGGAATTAAAGATAAAAAGCGTTGATGAAGAAGGGCTCTTCGCCATTATCAAAGCCATGCCTCCTAACGGTGGCGATGGCAAGGCTGCGGAGAAGAATAACGAGAAGAAGGCAGCTGAAGAGAGAAAGATCCGACAAGACGCCGAGGAAATGGACAGAGAGGAGCGAAGGAAAGCTGCAGAAGCGGAGAAAGCGGAGAAGGAGGCTCAAAGGCTTGCTGCAGCAAAAGGAAAATCTTCTATACCAGCAGCTCCCCGCAAAGCAGTGGTGCCAACTTCATCACAATTGTGGACCACCAAGTATGCACCAACGCAAATGAATCAAATCTGTGGCAACAAAGGTCAAGTTGAAAAGATTCAGTCTTGGCTTAAGGGTTGGCCAAATGCCCACAAGTACAATTTCCAGAAGAGAGGTGCAGATGGACTCGGAGGCTACAGAGCCATTATTATCCATGGTCCACCCGGTATCGGAAAAACGACTGCGGCACATTTGGCTGCCAAACTTGCTGGTTATGATATTTTGGAGAGAAACGCTAGTGATGTTAGAAGTAAGAAACTTGTCGAAACTGGGTTGAGTGAGGTACTGAACAATACTTCGGTTCTGGGTTACTTCGCAGGCGATGGGAAGAATATCGATAAGACTAAGAAGAAGATAGTCCTCATTATGGATGAAGTCGATGGTATGTCATCTGGAGATCGAGGCGGTGTGGGAGCTCTCGCGAAAATCTGCAAAACGACCGATACACCCATGATATTGATCTGTAACGACCGCAGGCTTCCGAAGATGAAGCCATTCGATTTTGTGACATTTGACATGCCATTCAAGAGACCTACCGTTGATATGGTCCGTTCACGTATCGCTACTATCTGTCATCGAGAAGGCATAAAACTCCCTGTTCAAGTCATCGATGCCCTTATTGAAGGAAGCAACAATGATATCAGACAAATTATCAACATGATATCTACTGTTAAGCTTGATCAAACAGCCATGGACTTCGACCAGGGAAAGCAAATGTCAAAGGCATGGGAAAAGCATGTTGTTCTCAAGCCATGGGACATAACCCATCAACTCCTAGGAGGACATATGTTTGCTTCCAGTAGCAAATCTACCTTGAACGATAAGATTGAGCTTTACTTCAACGATCACGAGTTCACACCGCTGATGATCCAGGAAAATTATCTAAACACCAAACCGCAATTAGCTAATCGTGCAGATACACCCAAAGAGCACAAACTAAAGGTGCTACAACTCGTAGACCAAGCCGCAGAGAGTATCAGCGATGGTGATTTGGTTGATCGGATGATTCACGGATCCCAACAACAGTGGTCACTTATGCCTACGCACGCAGTCTTCAGTACAGTTCGACCGGCAAGCTTTATATCTGGTTCAATGACTGGAAGAACCAACTTTACATCTTGGCTTGGTAACAATAGCAAGTACGGAAAGCTCTCTCGTTATGTGAAGGAAATTCAATCGCACATGCGACTGCGGTCCTCTGGAGATCGTCATGAAATTCGTCAACAATATCTACCAGTTCTCTGGGATAAACTCATTCGTCGACTCGAAGTTGAGGGCAGGGACTCTGTGGAAGATGTTATTGATCTCATGGATAGTTATTTCCTAACTAGAGAGGACTGGGACTACATTTTCGAACTCGGTGTTGGAGAACAAGATATGGAAGGTGTCAAATTGGAAACTCAAACAAAAGCCAATTTCACAAGATCGTAAGTTCTCTATTGTATCTTCTCAAACTCAGGAATACTAACGAATCAAAGCTATAATGCACGCTCCCACCCCGTTCCATTCATGAAAGCAAGCAATGTCTTCCAACCTACAAAAGTCGCTGCCGTAAAACCAGATCTAGAAGAAGCATTCGAGGAAGAAGATGAAGGTGAAGTAATTTCGGAACCAGTTGATGATGACGAAGAGGCCGATTTGAAGAAGGATAAATATATCAAGCAACCTAAGAAGAAGCCAGCCAAGAAGCCAGCCAAGAAAAAGGCTAAGACTAATGAGGATGATAGTATGATTGATGATGAGGAAGAGGAAGAAGAGATGCCAAAGAAAACAAAGAGAGCGAGCGCTACTGCAAAGAAGGGGAAGAAATAAATCGATAGCTGGGTGGGTGCCTGGATTTTGAAGAATAATTTTTGATACGTCTTACATCGTAGGTGTTGGCGAGGAGAGGAGATGATATTTGCAAAAAACAGATTTTGGTAGTGTATAATTACTGAATCTGTATTATTGTATTTGAAGGCTGTGAAAGCGAAGAGCGGATCATGAGCAGATACGATACATTCTGGAGTCTAAATGGAGAAGATATCTCGATAAGTTTATTTGTACCTTCTTGCACATATTTAGGTAGTTTTCTTTTGGCACTGATGCCATATGATGTATGAAATAGACAATACCCTGATTCTTCCTGTTTTTATTCGTTGCTATTTCTAAATTGTTTTGTGTGTGTATGTAGAAATCACGAGGACGTGTAGTATGTATATGAGACATAGCTATCTAGCATTTCCAAATGCTCACCACCATCCATCTATGTTACCTGTATACCTCCCCGGCAGCTAGCTTAGTCCTGCCATCAAAAGCCTAAACATACCTCTTCTGCAACGGCTCAGGTTTATTCCCCAAAATCTCATCAATCTCATTCATAATTTCCGGAGTCAATTTCTCTCTAATCTTCAAGGCTCTGACACTCTCGAATACTTGCTCTGGTTTACTAGCCCCGGTAATCGCACTACTGACATTCTCATTCTTCAACACCCAACTCATGGCTAAGTTTGCCATGGAAATACCCAATTTCTCCGCGACGGGCATGAGTTTTTCCACGGCGGCAATGTCTGCTCGCCAGGAATCGTCGCCGCTTTTGGCTTTCATGCGTGCGGCGAAGTTGTCTTGGGAGGTGCCGAGACGGGAATCAGAGGGGATGCCGGAGTTGTATTTTCCGGTTAGGAAGCCGAATTTGAGGGGGGAGAAGGTGGTTAGGCCGAGGCCAAATTGGTTGTATAGAGGGAGGAATTCACCTTCGACTTTTTGACGGGACAGGAGGTTGTATTGGGGCTGTTCCATTAAGGGGGCGATGAGGTTGAGGCGCTGGGCGACGGCGTGGGCGGAGGCGATCTCGGCGGCGGTCCACTAATGGTTGTGGGGGTTAGTTTATGGGGATGGAAATGGAGGGGTGATAAGTGGGGCTTACTTCGGAGGTTCCCCAGTAGAATGCTTTACCGGTGTTGATGAGATGGTTGAATGCTCGGACGGTTTCTTCCATCGGACAAGCGCGGTCGGGTCGGTGGGCATAGATGAGGTCTACATAGTCGAGTTGAAGACGTTCGAGAGCGAGATGGGTACCTTCAATGATACGTTTACGGGAGAGACCAAGGTTGTTGGCGAGTTTCTCGCCGTTAGCTTGACCCCAGTATATCTATTTGGCATTTCGTTAATATGTGTGGTGATAATGTAATAAGGATGTGGGGTGAGATTTACTTTGGTCGAGATAACCAGATCATTTCTTTTCCAGCCAAATTTCTTGATGGCTTCACCCATCACCCTTTCGGACTCTCCACCTGCGTAACCCTCGGCGCAATCAAAGAAATTGATTCCAGCATCATAGGCGGCTTTCATGCATGCAAATGTGTTTTCTAATGTATGTTAATCCTGCAATTGACCTAAAGAAGATGGAAACTATACCATTTTCAACGTGACCACCATATGTCAGCCAGCCACCGAGAGAGATGGCAGATACCTGAAGACCGGAAGGGCCTAGGTATCTGTATTCCATTTCTGGGAGGTCTTCTGGAACTGGCACCATTTTGAGGGACGATTGTGTTATTTTCGGGAAATAGAAATTGCGAGAAGTGAACTTGAGACACTCTTGAGGATACTTCAAGAAGGAAAAGAAAAAAAACAGATTCCAACTTGCAGAAAGATATTTACCATTGGCTTGGGAACGAATGTCGTGATATAGCGGGGTTATGTTATTTTAAAGCGGGGCAATCATTTATCACTATCAGATCTCAAAACTTACCTAGGTACAATCTCTAGCCCGAGAGTGGGATGGATGGAAAACATCAGTGATAATGATGATAAATGGTTGATGACATTCGATCATATCACAATGTTATAAGATGTTGGTGTTGATCCAGCTTCTTCTTTAGTCGTAACGTAAGACTTAGTTCGGATGAACACGCCCGATTCCCGTTAAGCTAGCTGATATAAGAACGTGGCTTATTTTAGTTATGGGCTTTGTATGTCTTATATCTTTTAACGACGTGGAAATTGGCTACAAAACTCACATTTATCCTTCGTCGACATCAATGCTATTAATCTGGACCGGACAACTGCTTTCGAGACACCATGATGGACTGTTGTTGAAAGAAAAGTGCTGTATAACATCTCGGACCATTCTTCGTCTTCTGGATCAAAAACTGGGGTGGTTGCGGAAGTGCACTGGCAGCCTGTTGCCATGTTCTCCGTGGTAAGTCTTGTGCTTGTGGTCAGACTGAGGTGCGGAGGATCAGTCTTCATACTTAGGGAGCTTAAGACGTCTCGTTTAGCCAAGCAAGATGATAATTTAGCGACGGGTGGAATTATTAGAGTACTGTTATAAATGAGAGTCGTCATTTGGTTGAAATACTCAGGGCAGGAAGCAGGACGTGGTGCTCGGAACTTGCTATATCTCCTTTTCTATCATTGATATTGTCTTATTTATGGGCTGAGGGAGACTTTGAGGTACCGCAGACCGCCACTAAGAGCTACTTAAGCCTCAGAGATATCTGATATATACGAAAAATAAGCCCTCTGAGAGCTAAATTGGTGGTCTGCAAATGCAGTACAAGGCGCTGATTTGGGGATTTCATCTTTGTAGGTACCGATTCCTTCCATTTGGCATTTCAAATTTCAAGGAGTGGAAGATGCTTGCCTCGATTGTGAGCATGGCGGCTCTTCTCTCCTATCCTTACGGTATTTCTTATTCTTCTTGCCTCACTACCTGCAATTCACTTGGAGCCTCGAACATTTTTGGGATATAGGCATAGCCCACTAAGCAGTGGATGATGAGGAGTAGAGGTAAGAGTTACTAGGGTTTTATAATGTCCTTGGACAATTGGAATGAAAGTTCCTAGAAATATTGTTGGTGGAGTGGTACTTCGAAGATACATCACGTATTTAAGCAAGATGCTCGTTGGCTCTGAGCCGAAAGAGTAAGGAGACTTACGGTTATGAAAAAGATCACAAATACTTTGGTACGCCATTTCTGAGTTTCCGATATACCTGGTAGTTGTATCATAATGTGGACTGTGGATGTACCATCATGTATTTTTTTAACGGATAGTCCTTGCTGAATACAGTAATTTCAAGCAAAGCATGGGAGTTTTACTTAAGCTCCCCTTTGAATGGTCATGTGAGTTTCTGAGGGGAAGAAATTTGAATAATTCGCTTGCTGCCTTGCCGCGTCTTGAAGCAAAGTACCTCAGCCTGCTCTGCTTCGCTTTCCTCGCACTTTCCTTCTTTCCCCTTCCCCACAACAACAACAACAACAACAAACTTTTGAATTTCTTTTTTTACCCGACAAAAGTACTTTACCAAGATCTTTCCTTCTTTAATCAGTACTGAGGTCGTAGAGTCCTTCGCGATCTTTCTCTCTGATATTCTTTGCCTCGATTTGTAAGTAAAGTCTCCTGTCCCAAAATTCCCTTCTTCAAGCATCAAGATCTCATGTCGCATTTTCAAAACACTTCCAAATTCTTCGCATATACTTTCCTTTTCTAAACATCTTACACACATCAAAGCATGTACGTTTATCATCACAAGCATCTGTCATCATTCTTCAAGATATTACTTCAAAAACAATCTACCATTTCCTTCTTCCTTTCACATGAAAAGTACACTTCAAAGCCACTTTTGACTGGTTGTGATTGCCTTTTTACACCAATACGATCGACGATCCCTTAAGTTTTCACTTTTGAAGAAGCAACTAGTTGGGATAGAAGATGCTCTTTCTTGATTGGTGGCCAATTCACTCGAGTTGAAGCCCGCCCGCTATTAAAGTGTTTACTTTTATTCTAAAGAGCAAGGACTTCCCTTTCCTCACAACTACAAAGTTTTTCTTCCATTTTCTCTTCTCTTCCTATTCATGTCTCTTTTCGCACCCTTCCATACGTAGCCTTGCTTATCAGCTTGACTTCTTGAGTCTCTTTGATTTATTTCTCCTGTCTCAATTTACTTTTTGATTTCATTCCAAAAAGCTCTTTGACTTTGAGCAACACCAAGTTGGTCCATCTTGCGCGTTACCCTCTCTCTCCACTAACTTCTACTTGAGGCATAGCTAATGCTTTTTTCCCTTACAGATCTAAAACAAAAACTTGCAGTTCTTGAATTTTATAAAATGTCTTGGGGAGTTCCAGCTGGTGGTGACGATTGGGGAAGTGGCGGGGCTGTTGCTACCAATGGCGGCGGCGGTGGTGATTGGGACACTCCTGCGGTTGGCTCCTCTGAGAAATATGGAGGTGATGCCTTTAATGATGGTGCCGAAGCGGAGAACGATTATGGTTACGGTGGTGGAGAGGAAACTGGAGATGGTGGTGGTGGCTTTAGTGGTGCATGCTTCAATTGTGGTCAAGAAGGGTACGGTTCAATTCTTTCAGTTTTGAGATACTCTGCTAACGCACTTTACATCAGCCATTCGAAGGCCGAATGCCCAGAACCTCCAAAGGCACGCCCATGCTTTAATTGTAGCGAAGAAGGTCATACAAAGGCCGAGTGCACCAATCCAGCAGTTCCCCGCGAATTTAGTGGTACTTGTCGCATCTGTGAGCAACAAGGTCATCGTGCTTCTGATTGCCCTTCTGCTCCACCTAAGCTTTGTAATAACTGCAAGGAGGAAGGTATATCTATATCAACCAACGCTCAATATTTCGTTTCCACTTAAGCTGACTTCATTATAGGCCATTCAATCCTTGAGTGCAAGAATCCTCGCAAGATCGAGCGCAACGATGTCGAAGATGTCGCAGCTGAAGTTGCTTGGGAAAATTTGATCAAGCAATCTCAAGAAGGCGACTTCGATGACATGAAGGATGAGGTTATGAAGTACATCAAAGCATCTCCAGATGCTACCTATGTGCAACTGGAAAAGGCTTTCCGTAGTCAGAATATTCCCATCTATCTTATTGCAACGGAGAAGGAACTCACTCAGACCTTCACCAACATGGACTTGCAAGGCAACCTGGACCGAAAGTACACTATTTCTTGGCGCAAATCAAGCAAGCATAGTCGTCCCAAGGAGAAGGAAAATTGGCCAGCTACTCCAGAGGAGAACTTGGAACGCCTTGCCGATGCTGGCGAACCCGTTGATCGTGGTGTTCCTCTTTGTTCCCGCTGCAGCGAACTCGGACATATCTCGAAGCACTGCACTCAGGAGGTAGGTGAGAGTGAACGTGTTCAAGTTCAGTGTTTCAACTGTAGTGAAATGTAAGTTCCCCAGCATTGATATTCCATTAAGCACTAATTTTGGGATAGTGGTCATCGCGTTCGTGATTGCCCAATCCCTCGTGAGGATAAGTTCGCCTGTCGCAACTGCAAGAAGTCTGGTCATAGTTCTAAGGATTGTAAGCTTAACATTGTTCTCGCATTCTATGCCGCAAGCTAACATTGAATTTAGGCACGGGGCCACGTTCTGCTGAGGGTGTTGAATGCAAGAAATGTAATGAGAGTAAGTTCGCCAAAGTTTCCGAATTCTTTGGTCTCACTAACACAGTACAGTTGGCCATTTCTCTCGTGACTGCCCTACCGGTGGTGGTGGCGATGGCGGTGTTTGTAGAAACTGCAATCAACCTGGTCATCACTGTAAGTGGCATATCTATCAGACGCTGCTAGGGATACTAATTTTTGGCTTACAGCCAAGGAATGTACCAATGAGCGAGTTATCATCTGTCGCAACTGTGATGCAGAGGTTAGTTAAACACATTTTATCACGTCTAGTACAATTACGAACGGCTTACCGACTATCAGTAGGGTCATACCGGCAAGGAGTGCCCAAAGCCTCGTGACTATTCTCGTGTTCAATGCCAGAACTGCAAGCAGAGTAAGTTGAAACCCGTTGCCTTCAAAATTTGGTTTCCACGGTGTGTTAACACAATTTAGTGGGTCACACCAAGGTTCGTTGCAAAGAGCCAATTGTCGAAGACGACGCCGGCAATGGCGAAGTGGCGGCTGATGCTGGTGATTATGGTAACGGTGTTGCAGCTAACGATGAGTACGCTTCTCTCGCTACTGCCAACGATGATAGCTGGGGTGGTGGCCGTGGCCAAGAGGTTACATCCGGTGGTGGTTGGTAGAACGCGAGTTTGCCCAACCTTCTCTAGGAATGCCACTGGCTTGTCTCCCAAACATCGATGCGGTGAGATAAGCTACCGCTCTTCATACGAAGGAGGTTTTAAAGGATCTGTTATTTACGCACGTCAATAGGTTGGGGTTTACCGTAGTATTCAATTGCTTTCGATTATTCATGGACACTTGTACTCTCAAGACAGGGATACCATCAAAAAAAGGGGTGAGAATACCAAAACTGGGATTATAGGGCAGGAGAGAAAAGGAAAAAGATATTGCTGCGATTAGGGATTTTAAGATAGCTACTTAGGCATCTAGGTATTTGAGATAAAATCAAGAGCCAGATTACATCGTAAATAAATTGAGCTTGCTTGATGGTAACTTTGTTGTTGTGATCATCTTGAAAAGAGATTCTCGTTTGAATTTTTTCAGTGTCAACATTATATGATACTATTTTGAGTTTGGATAGTAATGTTAGGATTAATAGGTGATCAAAAAAAGGCAGGTAATAACAAAGCAATATAATCCACAAAAAAGAACACCTGGATAGAAAAAAGTCAGTATCAAAAACAGAGGCCGAACTCATTTGAAAAAGGCTGATTATAAGGAAATGGGAATTCTTTTGTAATACTGGATGCTGTAGTAATGAATATATGGACTAGATATTTAGGTATTTATAGGTAGGATTATCTTAAGATTATTTGATAAGAGGTGTATAAATATTTGATCTAATCTAGGATAGAATAGGATAGCAGAATCTAATGTATGTATATGAAAGCAAGGAGAAGAGTTGGAGGGAAGGGAATGGAATGGAGGGATGAATGAGGTAGGTAGATTGTTGAGGTCTGGGTATGGATAGTATATAAAGGGTGAAATGAAAGATCAAATATATTATTTACCAATTCTTTCAGAAGATAGATAGTTTAGGTACTGTGGAGTATCCTTGAAGGCTTTAAGTCTAACACAATGAAATTATATTGTGCTTTTGTGTTGTAGTATCTTAATTTAGAATTGGATGTGTCTACATATTTAGTGTATTTATATCTTGAGTATTCTGTTGATCTGTTTTTGGTATTTTTAAACCAAATAACTTACGTCTAAGTTTATACATTGAGGAGTTTACCGGGTGTACACCCCACAGTAGTAATCGCTGCGTTCCGTTCCCATCTCCCTCGAGCAGATCCTCGCCCGGGAAAGCTCTTAGAGCAGAATTGTCACTTGACCTTTTGAAGCTCGAATCCTTATATCGTCGTAATCGATCATCCATAACTTCCCTCTCAAAGTTTCTCAAAAGTAGGCTTTCTCTTCTGCAACCCACTCAACATCGCCGACTTAACATCATCTGTCTGAATCGACGCACTATTCCACACCCCCGTATACCTCAAACTATCCGCCAACCTATTATCCCTCGCATGATTCAACAATTCCTTCGTACCCTGCACCGCCACAGGGCTCTTCTCCGCCAACAATTTCGCAATGCTGAGTGCTTTTTCCATAGCCTTTTCTTTGGTAGGCTCAACATGACTTACGAAACCTACTTTAAGCGCTTCCTCGGCTCCGAATATTCGTGCGGATAAACAGACGTCTTTGACCCAGCTGAAAGAGCCGACGATTTTGGGGAGTCGCGAAAGTGTGCCTATATCAGCTGCGAGTCCGATGTCTACTTCTTTTACTGCCAGCTTGACGTCTGATGTACAAATGCGGATATCGGCGCACGTGGATATGTCGATGGAGAGACCGAAGGAGTAGCCGTGGAGAACGCATATCACAGCTGTATTACATGAGATTAGCTTCATTGGTCCTCTGAAATATGGCAGGGAACCAAACGTTTCTCGCATTTCTCTGCACTGCTTATACACTCCTGAAATTCATCGACATGGCGTCTAAAGATTTGCGCTTTTCGCGCTACATCTATTGACCTCCCGTCCTTCTCCGCTAAGACCCCATCTTGTGCAGCAGCTTCAACATCTAAACCCGCTGAGAAGGCACGATCGCCAGCACCGGATAATATGATAGAGCGGACGTCGGGGGAATAGGAGAGGGTATCGAAGATGGTGCGGAATTCGAGCCACTAGATTTAGGGGTTAGCGAATTGTTGCGCTAGCAGTTTGTGGATTGATGTTTGCAAACATACCATGGCTTCAAAAAACGCGTTTAGTTTCTCGGGACGGTTAATTTGAACATGTGCAACAAATGGCGCTGGGTATGTGACTAGGAAATATTTGTAGGTGGATTTTGAGGAGGCCATTTTGGGCAATATGAGAGATGCAAATGGCAGGTTCTGCTTGCTTGCTTGTTTGTTTGCTGATCAAGTCACTGACTTGTAAGATATACTTGTCAGAGATTGATACACTGGAGATGAGATGCTGGTTTGAAAATTCCGAGAGAGTAGTGGTAAATGAAGAATCAAGAAAGTTATCATGAATTGTAGCACAGAGTAGATGAGTTGTCGGTCAACTTGAGCCAACATCACCGAACCTCGGCATGTCTTGAGCTCGCCAACACGTGATCATACTCTCTTTCCTTTTCTTCTTCGCGGGGTAGCCTTTCAGGCGTCTTGTTTAGAAAGCTCTAATCTATAAGCTCATAGCTCATAGCTCAAGCTCAAGCTCAAGCTCAAGCTCAAAGTCCAAAGCCAACTCTCAACGTTGAACTGCGAAAATAAGCCAAGAGAATCAACACAGAACTCTTAACAGTATTGAGTGACATTCCGAAACTTAAGCACTAAGGTATTCCTCTGCAGCCTCATATCTGGCTATTCCCGATTCCCTTTTATCCTTTTGATCCCCGAATACTACTCTCTAACTGTCGGCAAGAGTTGCATATACATCATACCTACATATATTGTCCATGTGAAGCCTTTGGCATGAACGCTTTAATATTGATGATATTTCACTCGCTGGCGATGGCCAATGAGCCTCCGTAGTCTTTTAAGTTTGTTAACTCTGATTGCTAAATAAGACAAATACTTCCATATCAATCGATTTTCAAAGGATAGCCGACGAGATGTATGCAAGTGGACGGCTGAGTAGATCTGACAGTTGTCAACTTGTCAATAAGCATTCGTGCCTGTCGAGCCTTCCATGCAGATGAACCAATAACTTAATCACAATCGATGCCATTCACATGTATCCACAACCACTTCTTCTACGGCTCGAGCTGCTGCAGGGAGATCGACAACAGCACTGCAGTAGCGAAGATCATTATGATATGTTTTCGATGAAATCTTGATGATTGATCGATCATATGATGCTTCATTATATGTGCAAGGGGTTTCTTTTCTTGGTGGCTGTGGGGCTTTTTTTACTTCTAAATGATTTCAATGATTAGCTAAAACTTCCGAACGACTTGTTTCGAAGGATTTTATGTTCCTTAACCCCTCCCTCGTTCATTGGATTGTGGGGCAAAGGGGACGAGGGGAAGGAAGTAAAAAAGTTGGTTTTTGTATGTCTCTTCCTCCATCATCATCATACGGGAAGATACTTTTCTTTTCCTTGACCATACAACACATGCCATTGCCAACAGCGGTACTTATTACTGTAATGCAGAGGAAAAGGATTTTGATGCAATGCAGGAAAGCAAAGCACAAAGTGTAAAATACGAAACCAATCATTATTTGTCTATGTGTCGTCTCCTCTCTTAGATACTTTTAGACACATGTCTAGCATCAAAAGCTTCTAAACGATTCACTTTATTCCGTCGGCTAAATCCCCTATAATGTCTAAACCAGATACAGATATTCTTATTTCATGTCCGCAAGTCAATTCCCGATTTATTCCCTTAGGAGAACTCAGTTGCTCGTGTAAGATCCATATGAAATCCAAGGATTTGATGAAGGTCGGCTATTTCAAATGACGGTCAATGGATGTACGGAGCAGCTTTCATCCCCCGCAGACTTGCGGGCAAAATCTCATTCGTGGGCTCGGTACGGCACAGGTTATGTTGTATTAAATATGTATGCGCGTTATATGGGGATTGTTGGTCAATGGCTACGGACTTTACGAACGGAGTAGGTGAAAAAGCACGGGTGGTATGATATGCAAGTTGCAACACGGTATTAAATTCCATATGCGTTGATCTGCAGCAAAAAGGAAAAGCCCCAAAACAAGCCGGTGTGGTGAAAAAGCCATTTTGCTAGGGTTCCTGTAATTCCTCTAGGGAGTACTTAACCTAGCACCGTACTGGTGTCTACGGAGTAGCAAATAGGGCTCCTAGCTTGTTCACTAAGCCTAGCTAACCAGCTGTCAAGGGGAAGATCAGCGGATAACCTTTCAACGGTCAATCGCGACTTACGGATCCGGAGTAATAAGATCGAATCAATCTGAAAACCAATCAATCGTCTTCTTTTCACTCCCTGGTGCTCTGTCATTGCTTTACCATGTGTCACCCCTGTGTTAGAATTCGTTATGTCTCATTTATATCCTCACCAAATGTTAGTTAAATGTTCTCAAAGAGGATAAGTCCGTCAACATTACCGGGGTCCGTGTCCCTTTGTCCTCTTGTCCCTTTTTAATCAGAACACTTTCTGTGCCCTGCCCGTACAGAGTAAGAGTACTCCAAACCTTAAGCTCAATACCAGAATCATTCAACATCTATCGTTTGGAGGATTCGATTCGCAGTCGCCTATGTACAACCAATGACACACTGTCTGATGTTCATTGAAAGCTTATTAGATTCGTGCATATTATTTGCAGTGCCGGTTGCCTACGGAATCTTACAGCATCATGCGGTGCTACACATGCATCGAGGTCGCTCCTACCTCTCTGCGGTCTTTCTGAATAATGTCCAATGTAAGCAATGCATGTTCCTTTAGCTAGTAAACACGGCATATAGAGTCGTGCAGCCTGTACCACAAAAAGACAACCTTTAAATCTTCCATCTTCTAAAAATCTACTCAGTTGGAAACACAGTGGTTAATATCTATCACACAGGTTGTCCCAAATGTTTGAAATTGACGAACAAACTATCCCGTTCATACGAACCCGCCAGGCTCTACTCCTCCTAGATCTGCAGAATGACTTCATAGGAGAGGGAAGCTTATTGCCGGTCGAGAAACCCTCAAGCTACATCGACAATATAAAGAATCTAATCGAGCCCTTTCGGCCTTCTGGTGACATAATATGGATATGCAGCGTTTCCACAGAGGGTGTTTCGAGGATAGTCAATCAACCGCGGAGCGATAGCGAGGCCATAATAACGAATAAGGAGCTTCCACGACCTCGACGAGACGTGTTAGTCCCGGAAATTGACTCCGGGGCTAATGAGAAAGAGAGCAGGCTTCCAGGAGCTGGCAGCGAGGAGGACGCAGCGGAAGCTTTTTTGACAGTTCAACCCGAAGGAAAGGAGCACATGCTAAAACCCAATTCGAGGGGCTCAGAAATTTCAGATAGGTTTGCGCCAGTCTCTGCAAAAGACCTGGTGTTCAATAAAACATACTATTCTGCATTCAAAGATGGGAGTCTAGTCCAGAAACTGCGGGGCAAGTTTGTGACAGAAATATACATAGCTGGAGCTCTTACGAATGTCAGTGTGTTTGCCACGGCCATGGATGCTGCTCGCCATGGTTACGCTATAACCATAGTTGAGGACTGTCTGGGATATAGGAGCAAGGCTAGACATGAAGAAGCTTTACGTCAGCTTCGAGCTTACACAGGGTGTGATGTCATAAGCAGCGGGGAACTCATTGAGTGCTTACAGAAGCAAAAGAAGGTCGCGGAAAGGAAAACGACTTCCAGTAAGAAATCTCGTCCTAAACCTAGAGAACCACAACCAAGAGAATCTCGAAATTCTGGGATTGAGAATCTAATGGGGAACTTAAAGCTAGAAGCAGACGACCCGCCAGCCACCACCGTCACAGCCCCATCATCGACGGCAGCCATCGAAGACGATTCCGACGTCACTATTCAACTCTTGCGTGCACAAATTCGACGAGCGAAGCCACCAGCTGAACTTGAAGCAGAAGCTAAGAAAAGAGAAAGGGCGAAGTCGAAAACAAAGTCGCGTCGACATAATACGAAGCCAGTGGAAGTAGGAGGACCCTCCAGTCCATCGAAAGAACGAAGCCCGACGTCTTCCAAAAGTCCGTCACCTGACTCATCAGCATCACCGAACCCGGTGGACAAACCGGTGGTCAAAGCGGCGCTGGCCTGTCCTGAAACCCGAAGCACTGAAAAGCAGGAATTTCAGGTAAAACTTCCATCAGAAAAGGAAACTCTCGAGGAGATGCCAAATGGCGAAGATAGTGCAACTGTCGATACGGCTAAACTTTGTGAAGGTGATACAACAGTGATCCACAAGCTCCTGCCTGAGGAATTGGCAAGCGGGATTTTCGAGAAGATCCGTGATGAGATCTTTTGGCAGAAGATGGGTCACCAGGGTGGTGAAGTACCCAGGCTCGTAGCAGTCCAAGGCCAAATTGAGGAAGACGGTAGTATTCCAACATACCGTCATCCAGCGGACGAATCTCCTGCTCTCCTTACTTTTTCGCCTACGGTTGAAGTAATCAAGAACATAGTTGAAAAAAGACTTGGGCATCCTGTGAACCACGCTTTGATCCAGTTCTACCGAGATGGAAATGATAATATCTCTGAGCATAGTGACAAAACGTTAGACATTGTTCCCAATACATTTATCGCCAACGTGAGCCTGGGAGCTCAACGAACAATGGTGTTTCGCAGAAAGAAATCTGTGAAGAGCGCAGGGTGTATAGACTCCCAGTCCACAACTCGAGAATCTTGCAGGGCAGCACTTCCGCATAACTCATTGTGTAAGATGGGCTTGGAAACTAATAAGAAGTGGTTACATGGAATTCGACCAGACAAGAGAATGGCGAGTGAGAAGTCTGAAGCTGAATTGGCTTACGATGGTGGGCGTATATCTTTGACATTTAGACATATTGGTACCTATCTCGACAAAAGTCAACAGAAGATCTGGGGCCAGGGCGCGACTACCAAAAGGAAACAGGATGCCAAATTGGTCATTAATGGAGATACACCACAATCTCAGGAAATGCTACAGGCTTTCGGAAAAGAAAATCATGATAGCAATTTCGACTGGCATGATATATACGGCAAAGGATTTGACGTACTGCACATGTCTAATTCCAAAAAACTTTACTTATCTGGGGATTTCATCTCGGACCGCCGTGTAAAGTTCATACTTAACGAGTACAATATTCCTTGGATAGAGGCTACCATTTCCCCCTCTTTCCACTGGAAAAAAGGAAGTTCTACAGTCGATAATCCAGCGATACCAGAAACACCTATCAAATTTGTGGACAATGATCCAAGCAAAACTACAGTCGAAGGATGCATGCCCATCATGTTTTATCTTGAAGCTATATATTGTCCCAATAAGGACTGCAGATCCCCAGCTCATCTCGCTCGTCATTACACCCGTTTTGAACAAGCCAACACCCTACTCAAGATCTGGCAAACGGCGCCCTTTAATGTAAAGCCCTTCCGCGCTGAGCTCGCTAAATGGAATATCTACGCCCAAGAGGCAGAATACATAGCAGGCGACGATATCGGCCTTGCAGACTTTGCAATCATGCCGGTGTTCGAGATGGCAAGTGAGAAGTGGAGTGACTCTCTGGGATTTGAGCCTTTGGCAGAATATTGGAAGAAAATGAGTCAAAAGGAGAGCTTTTTGAAGGTTCTCCCAAAGGAAAATGTAGAGGCTTTGCAGAATCAGGCCTCGCTCTGTGCTATGAAACGGAAAATCAATACCTTAACCAAGGAGAAGCTGGAAATTGAGGGTAGTGCAGGTCAGTCTTCTGCAGAGGCAGAAAAGGACAACGGCAAAGAGATTGAAGAGCTATCGGATGGAATTGCAAAGTTATGATCGTGATTGGATGTGACGGCGGTTCATGGTGGGAGGTTTGAAAAACTGGTGTTGAGGATAGGCGACAACATAATGTTGAGCGCATTTGAAGATAGACGAATGTCTGTAGAGAAATGGAAATTTCAGTAGCATTTCTACCAATATTATAAATGCTTAGTGAATCTGACCACAATAAATTCTATGATTGATTTTCTCTTTCATCATGCTTCCCGTCTGCAGTTCCCTTTCATAAAGCACCGTCTCCCCATCACCCATTGATTGACGCTAACCACATCCATCCATCATCCATCCCCAAATCAACCATCACTTTGAACCACCTTCTCCCTCCCACACAGTTGTCTCCACCATAAAAGTTCCCTTTCGATCTTTACATCTATATCCCATCAATATCAACATTCGTCCCTCAATCCAATCAATATACACCCACCACTCATCCCATTCAGACCCAAGCAACCAACCAACACTTTCCAAAAGAAAATCGAAGAAAACTCACCGTCGAAAAAACCGCTCAACAGGCTCACAAACAATTCTCTTCCCAAACTTCCCATCTTTATCCTTCTCGAGATCACAGTTATACTGGGAGAACTCGAGTAATTCACAGTTTTTGAGGTTTCCGTCGAAGCCTTTTCGATAGCTGGAGTTGGCGGAGAAGCGGGATTCGGAGGGGAGTGAGGAGGGTGAGAAGGTGGGGATTGGTGGTGTCATTTCTTTGAGCGGAGGAGGAGAGTAAGTTGGTATAGGATAGAATAGGATAAAATAAGATAAGATGGATAGAATAAAGTCTAGTGAAGAGATATTCGGAGGTAGATTATTGCAAGAAGTGGAAGATAGTGAGGAGAGTTTAGAATCGGTATGTTCATGTTCATGTTCATGTTCATGTTTATTCATTCTCTTTATTCCTTATCGATAACACTTTTGTCTTTTTCTCATCCTCTCATTCCCTTTTCAAAGTATATATATATAAATACGTTTAACTAAACTTATATTGAAAGCTCCTAACAACATTAACAAATACACTAACACCTCATCCTCCAAAAACTCATATCCCTTCTCTAGATACACTCTGGTCTCAGTCGTATTATAATCAACCGAGATTATCGGTTTCCGGTAGACAGTTACCGTTGTTGATTCATATTTTGACGAGGCTTCTGAGAGGGGAGGAGGGAGAGGTTGGGAAGTGTGTGGTGTTGATTGATGTTAATGGGAGGTTTTCGCCTTCGTTTTTAATATTTGAGGATCATGATGAGGATGAGGATGAGGGGAGTAATAATGAACAAGTGAGGAAGGAGAAAATTTTAAAGAGAGAAGATCTTAAACATCTTCATGTATTTCGGCCTTCGGCGCAGGATCTCGAATGCACTTTAAGAGGGATTGAGAAGTATATGTTGTATGGAGAGCACAATAGCTATAGGAGGGAATTTGGAGGGACGATTTTATTTGGGTTTGATGGGAGGGATGTGGGAGGGAATGCGGTGAATGTGAAGGGGATGGGGAGGCCGGAGGTGGTAATGGGGTGGAGGGGGTGGTTGAGGGTTGAGAGGGAGGAGGTAGGTGCATTTGGGGCGGGTGTTAGTGCGGAGGAGATGTTGGGAGAGAGGAGTAGGAGGGAGGAGGTTGTTAGGGCTAAGGGATGGAGAGGGATGGGTGATAGGGGTGGGGAGGTGGTATGGAGGTTAGACTAATGGGGAAGTCTGAAGATGGATGGGATATTGGTCAGAATTTGCTTGGTGTTGCAGAATGGGAGTAAGTCTAAATGGAGGATGGGATGGCACACGTGATGGGATGCCATGTTCCTAGACAAGCTTTATCATCATATTGAGCATGAGGAATAATCTGAGATGGTTGAGTGAGCTTGCTATGTGATTTAAGTTATGCGTCTATAATGTAATAGAATAGAATGGCTCGAAATATAAAACCAGCGCTCATATGAAGTTGATCCGAGAAATGAAACTTTACTGTAAGCGTTCTGTTTTCAGAGCAACATACATCATATGAAGCTTCCTGATCTCGATGTTCCCGTTCCGGTCGGTTCAATGCTAATGTAAGCAGCCTGGTCAAGCCAGTACAATAGGCCCTGTTTCCTGATATCGTTCAGACAGTCCCCAAAGTCACCCCTCATTCATTTGCACACACTTCTCCAATACAAACATATACGAATTGGCAAAAGTACTTTGCATAGCTTTCAAGAGAACAAATGCATGCACTGCCAAAGCACATCGATATTGGTAATGTACAGCTTGCCAACCCATTTCAACCTCGCAGCATGCAATGGCCCTCCTTCACGTCCCACTTCCTTTTCTCCCTCAATCAAGCATCCGCCAGAACAAAACACCCAGCCCAATCTATACCATTCATTTATCAAATCCGATTTCTCTATGCGGCAGCATTGGCAGCTCTCTGATCCTCCAACTTTGAGTAAAACGCATCGCGCTTGCGGACAGCTGGGACGTGGTATCCGTACCTATTGTTTTCTTAATTCTGTGTACCTTCAGTCCCGTCCAGAAGAAATGAAGACTTACCAGAAAGCGTATCCGAAGGTCGTTCCGATACCTGGTGGGTGATGTTAGTTGCCTGCTTTACTTCATTTCTACCCCATCTTTCTGCTTCTCTCTCCATTCACCCTCTCCCTTCCGCACTCCACCCCAGACATTTTTTTCACCACATACCGAAAGCGACGCTAAGGTCAAGAACAAGCCCTCTTCGGAGCATCTACAGCACAAAGTTAGCTCAATTTCCAATCTCATCCCATCCCATCCAATTCGATTCAATTTCAACTTGTCCAACTTCTCACTCTCAACCTCAGTTCCTCACTACTTCCCACCGGGAGAAAACACTCACTCCAGTAATTGGTTTGATGGCCATTTTGTATATTTGTTCTGAGGGGAGAAATCTGGTTCTGAATCTCTTATTTGCACACTCAAACTTGCAGTTCAAAATCGCATGATGCATCCCACGGTAGCCGGCATCTCCAATTTTAGCGCGTTGGTACCTGAGGCACAAACGCTAATTTCAACACGCCAACTCAATCTTCACACGTGATCAATTGTTCTGAACCTTTAATATTCACAAGTTCCAATTTACCATTCAATTGACTCGATAGCTCATTCAATCGGCTTACACTACGGCTATGAATCCTTCTTTACACAGCGAAATTCACGAATTATCTACTTAAAGTCTGCGGTGACTGTGAAAAAAAAACCAGGAATTGATTGCGATCATGGTCCCAGTGTCACGAAAGAGATCCACACCCAATTCCAGCGACGACGACGATATGGACGAACCGCACCGCAAACGGCAACGCATATCGCCCGTTCTCCCACAAACACCTCCTCCCGAGCTCGAGCTACCGCATACTGATAAAATGGAATCTTCACTCTTCGATAGCGACGTGCGGACGCTGCTGCGCAAAACTATATGTCAGACACTGGCACATGTCGGATATGATAGGGCGACAGAGGAAGCGCTGGAGGCGATGTGTATGCAGGTCGACACTTGTTTGTATATCCTCATTTTTGGGCGATGGGCCCTGTGTTGACAAGTCTACAAGATACCACGCATTTACTCTCGCAAGTTACAAATTCGATGCTGAATGCTAGAAGAAATGTACCCATACCACACGACATAGCATACGCGTTTAATCGGTATCAATTACCACTCGCATCACTAGAACCGCATTTGCGACCTCCAATTTCCGTACCGAAACTCAAGGTAGAGGTCGAACCGGCGCCGGAGGAAGACAAGACGACGAAAAATATTATAAGGATATTGGGGAAGGAACTTAATGGTGAAGTGGAAAAGGCACAAAAATCATATATTCCGAAAGGGTTCCCTGCGTTCCCAAGCAAACATACATTTAAATGGACGCCCAAGGAAAGTGAACGCGTAACGGATCCGCGAAAGATTCGCGAAGAGGCTGCAAAGAATGCGAGGATGGGGGAAGAAGCTCTGAGACGTCTTGTTAAGGTTGGAAAGGTGGGCAAAGATAGGGATATGAAACGGATGGCTGGTAGAGATCCAAAAAGCAAGGAACGACATGAATTATGGGAGCGCGCCATGTTAAGTTTGGCCGGCGAAAAGGGTAATACACATACTGCAAGTGGGAACGGGAATGGAAAAGAAAAGATGAGGGATCTGGCGCTGGATGAGCGCAGTATGGTGGTTAATGCAGAAAAACAGTATTTCAGAACGGGGGCACCGGCGAAGAGGAAAATTCAACCTCAACCTCCGCCTCCGCCTTCGCCCATGGATGAGGATTTAGTACAATTGGAGCCATAGGGAATCGCCTATAGAGAAAGGCTACGAATAATAATTTGGGTTCGGAATGGAGGGATGGAAGGATGCATGCATATTCAGCGAGGAGTTCTGGGGGTTTGAATCAACCGGGTCACATTTCCAGGGGCCAATGAACCCGTGATGGATGGACTTCTGCATGAGCGAGAGGTATTTTCTTGTATGTGTAAAACTTACATATGTCGTTGCTCATGCGCAACTTTACATACATCCTACCAGAAAGATATACTTTTTATGATTCCTATGGCCACATGCACATGTTGTAACGCCAATGATAGACTCTAACACCATCGCAATACACCAGATATATCCTACGCAGCAAGTCTATTTAAACCTCAAGGCCAAGCACCTGGATCAACTTCTGTTCCCAAATCTCTATCCTCCAAAAACTTCCTACCTCTCAATTCTTCCGGCAAGTATTCCTGAACTACTCTTCCCTCCTTGTAATTAGGATTATACTTATACTGATCCCCATACCCCAACTCCTTCATCAACTTCGTAGGTGCATTTCTCAAATGGATAGGAATAGCTAGACTAGCTACCCCAGGTTCCTTGAGTGCGGAAAATGCATTATTTAACCCCCTATATGCTCTTGTACTTTTTGGTGCTAGACACAGCGCTACAGTAGCATGAGCCATTGCAATCCGACATTCGGGCATGCCAATTTTCTCACATGCGGTGTATGTGCTAGTTGCGAGGGTTAGCATGGTATTATCGGCTAGTCCTATATCTTCAGATGCCATGACTATCATCCGCCGAGCGATGTAGAGAGGGTCTTCTCCAGATTGAAGCATTCTTGCTAGATAGTATAGAGCGGCGTCTGGATCACTGCCTCTTACTGACTTGTGGAAAGCAGATATAGTGTCGTAGTGTTGATCTCCGGCTCTGTCATACACTAGCGTTTTCGTGAGAGAGGCTTTGATGTCTTCCTTTGTGATATTAGGCCTTGTGGATAGACCCATGGCTAGCTCTAGAAGATTTAGAGCTGTCCGTGCATCACCATCAGAGAAAGCAGATAGATATTTCAAGAGCTCTGTATCCACAAGATCTGTAGGAGTGTAGTTCGGGCCTTCAGTCCTTAACGCCCTCTCTAATATCTCCAGTATATCATCATCCGTCAACTTTGATAATGTGAATGTCCGGCACCTAGACAGTAAAGCATTCTGTACTTTGAAAGACGGATTCTCGGTTGTAGCTCCTATCAAGGTAATCTGCCCACTCTCAACAGGCCCCAGAAACACATCCTGCTGACTTTTCGAAAATCGATGTATCTCATCACAGAAGATTATCGTCTTCCTCCCGGTCAGGCCCAATTCCCCTCTTGCCTCAGCAAATATCTTCTTCACCTCTCCTACACCCGAAGAAGTGCTATTGATTTCGACAAACCGACTCCCGACCATCGCAGCCACACATCGTGCAATTGTAGTTTTCCCCGTGCCAGCCCCTCCCCATAGTATCATTGACGGCACACGATCTTGCTCGATAAGACTTCGCAGAACCCCTTGGGGTCCCACCAACTCCTGCCCACATACTTCGTCTAGATTTCGCGGGCGCATTCGTTCTGCCAAGGGAGCGGCTTTCTGAAAGGCATTGGACTTGCTCTTCTTCGCTGGTGGATCCCCATTATCGGTTTTCTTCTCGAAATCTTGGCCTAGTGTCCCAAGATCATCGAATGACCTCTTCCTTTGAACCATCAGGGACTCATTCGCATGACCCCCAATCTCCCGCTTCATTGTCTGGTTTCCAGTTGCGCTTCCATCCTGCACATTTTGTTGAAATATACGAGTAGGACTGGGTGCTATCTTTGGAGCAGGATGCGACGCTGCCTTCTTGGCCGCAGGAGTTGAGAAGAAGTTGGAGACGGAAGGCTTCTGTGTGGAAACTGGTTTCTGTGAAATGTTTCCATTTTGCTGAGTAAGTGGCGGAGAAACAGTATCGATAAAGTCTTCACATCCTGAATCAATGTGGCTATTAATGTCTTTGGCCTTCACTTGCTTTTCACAGATGGGGCAAGCAACCATGCTGAGCAATTGGTAGTTGTTGAGTAATGAAATTGGTTCATGATCATCATCCAACTTTGTCGTAACAAACGCGTTGAAAGTTTTGGGGGACGCGCATATGGAAACCCATGCAACTAAAAGTGGCGCTAACTTTATTTCTTATCGTCCCCTTAGGTCAGGTACATCACATCATACAAATCCATTTATGAACAGACATAGTATTTCACACTCACAGCAGGATTATCATGATGCATGGTATTACTTTTTACGTTGTTTGCATTTCTCATGTCCATGAGCCTTCTGCTTTGCCATGTTTTTGAAGTACGTCCTGCCAAATGACCAGGAGCCACAAACCCCGGAAAAGCCATAAAACCTCAAGATGAATGACACACGCCCCTTTACACCACCCCTTTACGCTCTCGACATAACACCCCAAGCCCGGATAATGTTATCTGTGTAACCTGCGAACAAAGTTTGTCCGTCCGCGCTCCATGCCAAACTGACACACTCTGGCTCTCTGCTCTTCTTGCCAACAGCTTGGAACTCTGGCTTCAACTCGTCAACCTTGCTCTTCTTCTCCAAGTCGAAGATGATGATGCTGCTGGAGGTGGCAGCGCAAAGCCAGTATCTGTTAGGGGAGAAAACGAGGGCGTGGATCTCATCGCCAGCGTTCAAAGAGTAAAGGTGCTTAGACTCGTTCAAGTCCCACAACATGGTGGTTCCATCCTTTCCACCGGAAGCGCAGAGGGATCCGTCTGGGGAGATGGTGACGGTGTTGATGTAACCGGTGTGTCCGATGTGGTCGGTTTGCAATCTGCAAGAGCTAAGCTCCCAGACCTAAAGAAAGAAAATTAGCATTGATTCCAGGCAAGTAAATTCTGGTACCAAAATGAGTTATGCGAAGATAATTTCAGGGCAATGGTGTTAGTTGTCTCATGGCTTGGTCTCCCAAGCTCTGAAGTAGCAAATACTTTTAAGTTGCAAAACATCATATAAATCTCGCACAACTCTATTTTTGTGTACCATAAAGAACATATATAGCTTACCTTGACGAGCTTGTCCCATCCAGAGGAGACAATGACTGGGTTTTGTGGGTTAGGGCTGAATCTAACGCAAGAAACCCAATCGGCGTGTCCCTTCTCAGTGATGGTGAACTTGCAGTCACCGAGGGTGTTCCACAACTTAATTGTACGGTCGCGGGATCCGGAGACAATTTGTCTGTTATCGGCAGAGAAAGAAACGGAGAGGACGTCGTTGTTGTGTCCAACAAATCGGCGGGTGGTGGTACCAGTGGCAAGCTCCCAAAGACGGAGAGTCTTGTCCCAAGATGCGGAAAGAGCGTAAGCACCGTCGGAGGAGATCACCTAAAAATCAAAGTCTCAGCATTCAATTGCGGTTGCAGATTGCGCTCATCTTCCAAGAGCCACCAATTTGGGCGGGTAAACGTACACAGTCAGAAACAATGTGAGAGTGACCGTGGAGAGATCTCTTTGGGTAACCGTATGAAGTCTCATCCCGGGTCAAGTTCCAGATGATGAGAGACTTGTCGCGAGAACCAGACAAGAGCATGTTTGGGTTCTCGAGGGAAGTCGCAAGAGAAGTGACCCAGCCGCTGTGGCCCTCGAGGGTGCCCTTGAGGATAAGTTGTTCCGCCATATTGGAGTATTGATTTGGTGAACGGAGAATTGAAGGATGGGCAAAATGACAACGGTAACAGTGCTCTTTGGAAATATTTGAGAAATTGTGGTGGGAGGTTTTCCTAAGCGAGGTGGTACTAGCGCGGCTTCCAAAAAAATAGACTCTGACCTAGAACTGCTGTGAAATTTTATGATTCCTTCGAACACAACAATTTGAAAATTTAAGAATTTGTTTTAATAATTACCAGGAGTAAGAAGTCCTTGGTTTTGCAAAGGAAATTGTTGAAGAGAATTAATTTTGTCCTCATGCTCATATCCTTAAATTTCAGGCATTTTTGGTTGTAGGGCAAGGCAAGTCCGAGCAAAGACTTTTGATAATTGTACCTTCATTCAGTGATGGACAATCAATTTGTTTTATTGAATATTCACCTACCATCCATTGAGACAAGTGCTCCTTTTCATATCATTTTATTATCTTTGAGCAGAAGAGAAGGTGACTATGAACAAAACTTTCTTCATATTACAGTATCACGTGATTTTACATGGACGAATCAAGTCTGGAAATGCTACATGGTACATCAAAGTTACCATAATATGTAGAATCAATCATGTATAGATGTTATTAATTATCCTCAATCTTTCGCTGAAACTGTTATAAAAAACTTAGCAAGGACAATTCCTCAAGCTGCAGTATCACCACTCAAAACATCATATGGAGTTCCTCCTGGCTCTCCCTTATCTCTAGGATAGCCACTGTCGTATGCCGATTGAGCATTTTCCCTCTGTATCTTCTGTTCCGCAACACGACTGGGGTCATTCTTTCCTCCAATATCCGTATCAAAACTAGCATTCTTTGCATCGTTACTCTCAAATCCATCCTCTGTCAAATTCTTTCCTTTTGGTTTGCCACCAGACTGGTATTCACTGAGAACATAAGTCGGTGCGGTTTCCGCATTGCTTGTATCATTTTGCGCAGTAGGATCACCCGCATCTTTCTGATATGATCCAGATGATCCAGATGCTGCGAGCTTTTTCTCTTCCTGCCAATCTTCCTCCGCCATTCGGGCTTCGGCATCAGGAGCAGGATCAAGAGATTTGGCTCCTGATGTGTTGGTATTTGCGAATGTGGAATTCGAGCCTTTGACACCTAATGGTTCGCCATGGCGGTTTTCCGCGAAGCCTCCACCAGATCTGGTAGACTCTGCCGCGAGAGAGTCTGATGCTACTGCACCTGCTGGTTCCTTGATGATAGAATGTGGGTCGTTGACCTGTTATGAAATATGTGAGCAATCATGAAACATATGTAGTAGTTCGAAGTAAAGATTTACGATGCAGTTCCATCATGTTGAATTGACTTGCAGTCTAGAAGGAATTTCGTTAAGTTTGTAAAACAGGAAAGAGCTTATTTACCTTTTTACCGACACTTGACATTTTGATCGCGAATTGATATTATGAAATTTCAGTATCTGAAGCTTCGAAGATTGTCTCTTCACACTTGTAACGCACAAGTATAATAAGCAAGTTGTTTAGTTAACATCAGTTTTCCTCCAACATCCTTTGTTCTATACTAAAATATACAGCTGGTGTTCAGTATGACATCACTCCTAAAGTCAAAGAGTCGCATTATTCACTAGGTACATAAACCTGGCATGAGGCATGCCTCAATCAATACCTAATTAGTGATGGCACTACTGCGTATTTTGGACAACGTCAGCGCATAAGCGGATGGGCAATGGAGGGGTAATTTATCACGTGCATCGTATCAATTCAGAATTATCTGCATTTCTTGGGGAGGTAATCGTCGGAATGAATGGGACTAAATGGAAATGATCGGTCGATGCATGTGAATATTAAGATTATGTGTTAAACTGCAGCCAATTATATCGCAATTGCCATGCACGGAAATTGTTCCCTGGATTCAGGGAATCATCAAGCTTTTGAACCTGCTTACTCATGGTGTTTCGCTACAAGTCCAGCAGTCTACCGTATCGCTGTGGCTTCCGTTCTGTTGAGGGCTCGAAGGCGACAAAGGTAGAACTTGCATCTACAGCGATGAACAAATATGTTGTAATCGTATTTATTGGTACCCATTCCTTGACTGCTGACTTGTCTAGGATAAATAGTGGTTAAATATTTGTGATTGCGAGAATTCGAAATGTTTCCGTATCAGCATCGAGGATTGATATCTAGTGCAGTTTCTTGCATTGGGATTTCATGAGATCAAGATAAACCTGTTTGAAGTTGAGACATGAGTAGTTTTTGAAATCCATATCCTACGAGATAGAGGGGTTGACTCTTGAAAAGAGAGTGCTTTTCTGGGGCAATGAAATACAATTAAATATCGAACGTAAGCATCACAAGAAATGGGATTTGGGACAAATTTTGAGTTTTGAAAGCTTCTCAAAAGCAACATCATTCCCAATTCCTAGGCTGATGCATATAATACAAAAAAGTGCTTTCTAATCCATCCATGCTGTTTTGAATCATAATCCATCATCAATCATTCCCATAAAATAATACACCCATCCCACCTCCCATCTATCCTAGATTTTCACTCCTTCCTTCCCGAGCATCCCCTCAATTCTTATTTTCAACACCTTCGCGTCCAATGTTTGTCAAATCTACACCACCTGCTTCTCTAACACCACTTCCTTTAGTAGCAGCGCCCTCCAGTCCAGCTTCGGAAGCATTGCCAGTCGAGGTCTGGCTGGTGACGTCTCTGCCTGATCCAATGTTGACTTTGGTTGCATCAGCGGATTGCCAGTCGCTTGCCACAGGGGGTTGTTCAGGGAGAGGAAGGTTGGATTGACGCTCGGAGATGAGATCGGCTTTGGATTGTTCTGGCATTTTGTTTTGTGTGTGTGTGTGTGTGTGTGTGTGTGTGTATTCTGAGAATTGTTAGATGAGGATCGATTGGATTGTCGGCAAAGGGAGCTTACTTTGTGGTTTTGAAGTAGAACAGTTATTTGTGAGGGTATTTGTTGCGAATTCTTGTCTTGTATTGGGTATGTTGTGTGATGGTTGTTTGTGGTATGAAGTGAGAAGGATGAGAAATGGGAGGGAAAAGGAGGCTTAAAAAGACCTTCGAACTCTCGAAGCCATGTTCTATGACAAAATAAGGTCCCACCTTATTCAGGTACTGTATCAAGGCATAATCCAATTCTTCCTTGTTAGAAATGGATGTTTTGCTCCGGAAACATCAGACAATTGAGAAAATTGAGGGGCTCGATAGATTGTGATGTAATTATGATGTCGATCATGCAAGCACCTTTCATGGTGGGGTAACATCCCCGTTGACATGACTAAATTACCGCCGCGATCAAAACCGAAACCAACATCAACACAATTCAGCAACATTCGATCTCAGATGGAAACCCGATTGAAAAAGAGGAAGTTAAAGCGAGAGGGAAAATAGAAACTTCTTCATAATTGGTATCATTAATCATCCTTGTAAAACGCCAATTGCAATGTCCTCAATCATCAATGTCTATGCGCCAGTGGGACGTTCGAACGTCTTCCTATTCGCACCTCTCCTTGCCGTCCTAAATCGTGACCCTCGACTCCGACTAATGCGCTCCATCCGCTGTAAATCCACAGACAATTAAGGAAGTCTTCTGTCACTTGCCTCTCCAGCTGGAGCAGCATTCCCAGCATCAGGACTGAGATAATCTGCGTCTTCTGCAGCTTCATATTCTGAAATAAGATCTGTTACTACTTCTCTTGCCTCATCAAATTCGTTAAGATTGTCAGAAAATGGTGCAGTTTTCTTATAACCTTCCATGAAGGCATTGCGCTTGCGCATTCCATCGTATTGTCTTACGATACGTTTAAATAGCTATGACCTTTTAGTGATTTGGGACACATCAACAGCTTCTCAGAACTTACTGTTGCTATACTTGTGTGGTTCGCCAGCATAAGTCCACTGACTCTGTGATTCATGGGTATATACGGACTCTTCTTTGTTAATGCGACTTGAATACTAGCCGGGCCCCAAGGAATAAATGTCGCAAGTCGTCGCTCACGAATTCGAAGGAGACTTTTATGGACATCGGTTGGATCGACATCTCCCTGAATGACGTTCAAAATAGATATGTAACAACTCTTTTTACCGGGTATCGTAGAAACCATGCGGTTTTTTGGCTGTAGAAGTCTCCGCATGACATCTAGAACTGTGGTTTTTCGCACAGTCTTTGCCTGCTCAACATTGTTCCCTGTAAATGGTGTATAGGCTGTCATTAAGAAATGGCAACGAGGAGTTGGGATGAGGGAAGCGACTATGCTAACAAGATCATTGTGCATATATCCTGGGTATCTAAGTGTAGTGGTACTAGCTGACATAACGGTAGAAACCTTTATATTTCAGTAAAGCACACCTCGCTCGGAAAAGGGAAAATACGGACCAACTGATTAGTTTGTTGAAATGATGGCTCTTGAACATGTAACCTATCTGCAGCTATTCTTGACAGTGCACCATTATCGAGCACTACGACTGAGTCGGCGTTCTGTGTTAATCTTCGCATCGATAGTAAACTATTATATGGATGTACAACAACATCTCCAGAATTGGTGGTGTCTGGAAACACGGAATATGTTTGGATAATCTTCTTGGGGAAGCGATCATTCAGCCGTTCGAGTAGAAAAGATCCCAACCCAGAGCCAGTGCCACCTGCTATAGAGTGCAACATCATGAACCCCTACTCATATTAGCTTCGTGAATTGTTTATCGTCTTCCTACGCACCTCGAGCGAGTCACTACCATCAGCCTCTCGATCAAGCATTTCCATAATTTCTTCATGTACAGATTCACCTGTTTGATATCCATCTCCCCAATTGTTTGCAGCACCCGAACCATTTTTCCCAACGAAAAAGTTCTCCGGATTGTAAATATTTCTGTATGGGCCTGTTTGAATACCATTGAGAACCTAGAAAACCACATATTAATACTCCAAAGTCGAAGAATATAGCCTGGGAACTTGAGAAGCACGTACACGAGGCTCTAAATCGATCAAGATGGCACGAGGGATATATCGTGTGTCGTCCGACTGGTAGAAGAAGACGTCCTTTCTATCCCCTCCCTCCGTCGCAAATTCCTCGAGATTACCATCTTGACTTATGCCGTGTTCCTGACAGAGCTGCTGCCAAAATTCACTACCAACTGTCGAGCATCTCTATTAGAACACTTTCCGTTTCGTATAGCAAAATGAGGGGGTTTACTGACTGCTGTTACCGCACTGGCCGGCCTGGACCGTGATTATTTCTCTGCGAACAAAACCATATCAGAGGCCATAATGTGTAAGGGGGAAAATGATTGGTTACCTTGGCATTGCTGCAGCATCAAATGCACAATATGGTAACGATGCGCAATATCATACAAGTTTTAGATAGAGTTTTGAAATATCCTACCTATATCTTATTGATGTTCTATAAATTGTCTTATTGTCGACGCGTGAAATAAGGTTTCGCGCTAGTTATCGCGATGGCTCTTTGAAAATGATTGGACAGGGGTCTGTATGTGAACTTTTATGAATAAACATCAACCGTATACGGAAAACTTCATTAGGACAACAATAAAGCTCAAATTTTATATTAACTGAAGCTTCCACCTTTGAACAACCAGGTTCGCATAATAATCACAATCTTTTGCCATTGTCGCGGAACGTACGGTCGAGAGCAACATGCCTGGCTTTGAGTATTCCTCAAGCCCTCCATCAACACCAAATAGAAGCACCAATAGTAGATACAGTTTTGGAACTTCAAACAATCCATCGACTACGCCAGCTGGAGCCCCCGCTTCATCAGCTGGCTCTTATACTCCTGCCGGTCCAGCACCATCATCATTTCTTGGAAGCACGATGGGAAGCCCAACACCCAACAAGTCTGCTTTTGGATACTCGGAATATTCACAGCAATCAGACTTCGGCCACTCTCAGTCAGATTTTGGTCATTCTGAGCTCCAAAGTCCACAATTTTCTTCTCCTCTTTTCACGCGACCAGCGGCAAGACAGCAAAAAGTGGTGTTTGGAAGCAAATCTCAAAAGTCGCAAAGGAATTTACGATCGCCATCGAGAAGTGAAGAGGAAGATGAAGAGGAATATGATGAAAATACTGGATTTGATACAAAAACTCGTAATCGCTACGCAGATTCATACAATGATGACCAAGATATGGGGAGTGAAGATGTCAGCTACGAGGACGACGATCTGAACGATCATCGAGGAACAAAGGCAATGGACAGCAATATATTTAATCAGCACAGCAATTCAGTTCGGTTTGCCAGCACATCTGGCGGACAGATGCGCCAGAGTAAGGGGAACGAACTGGTGGATTTCCAAGTTTCTTTGGCGCAATCACAGGGAAAAAAGGTACCAGCTTCGGATTTTGCTAGTATTGCGAAAACCTTATCTCAAAGCGAGGGAATTCCAGCTGTTGACGAAGAAGACGATTTAATATTAAAGACGGAGGCGATAATTACAAAGCTCTACGAACAGGGTGTGGGGAAGACTGATAATGAGGAAAAACTCCAGCGTGCTCTAGGAGTTATACCTAGCGAGTTAACGGCGCTGTGGCAGGAGTACAGCGAACGAGGTGTCATTTACAACGAAAAAGAGTACGCTCTATTCATTGGCCCAGGTCCAGCAGCATCAGATTTTGCGAAAGCTAATTACCTGGCTCATCTTGCATTGCAAATACATCACTCTAAACCGGTGGAAAAAGGGCTTGAAACTGTGGTCAAACCTCTTCCCAACACTATGCTAGATTGGCTAGAAGTAAATCATGACCCATTTCCACATCAACTTCAGGAGGTCCAATCCACCAGACCAGGCCCTGCTTCGCATCGCTTATTTTGGACCACAGTACTTAACAACGTTGTCCGTGGAAGACTCATTGGTGCTATCAATTGCCTCAAAAGTGCCGGTTGGAGGTACTCATGGTCAGATGCAGAGGATATCAATGCTCAAGGCGGAGCAGGTGGCTTCACTGGGGTAGCCTTGACTAATGTTGAAAAAGTAATGGAAGATGCGGTCAATGTTCTGTCTTTATGCCCTGCAATACAGGGAGACTGGAATATTCATGGGAGTGATTGGAAAGTATTTCGACTTAGGATATCACAGGCCACGGAGGATTTAAAACAATTCGCAGAAGGGAGCTCTCACCCTGCATCGGGACGATCTGGCAAGTCTTCCATGAGAGGTAGTCAAGGTGGAGATTATAGTACCCTTGCAAAGAGAGCTGCAAGTAGGGTACCTTGGAATATCTACCAGAATCTACTTACGCTTTACAGTTTGGTTATGGGAGAGACTATTCCTATTATTGAAAACTCCCAGGATTGGTGTGAAGCAACCATTGGTTTGTTTGTATGGAACGATGAGGAGAAAGATGACAAGCGCTTAGCTCCTGGGCGGTCGATTAATAGCTTTCGCGCTTCTGCCATCAATTACGGGCCTGAAAATGATCTTCGCAAACTTCGGCGCGCCTTTGAAATTGTCGCTGCTAGCAATGCTGACTTTCACATCAATAGCAACGATATGGTTGAGGTGGGATTAGCTTGCTTATTTCAAGGTGACACTGAATCCCTCATCTGTATTTTGCGTGCTTGGTCCGGACCTGTGTCTTCAGCTTTAGCTGAGGTTGCATCATTGGCCGGTTGGCTTCCTCGCACTGAACCACAAGAACTCCTCACAAACGGCGAACTTGACCAAGGAGATCTTGATCTTCTGAGTTTTGACAAACCAGCATTACAGGATGGTGTCAAAGATCTTACATTGATTATATATGCAAGGTCATTACAAGAAGTGCCAGAGTTATCTGCCGTGATTGGAAACATCGAGGTAACCAAAGAAGGCTGGGAACTAGCGATCGCTATACTGGGTAGGCTTGACTCGGAAAAAAGATCGGAAGAAATGGTTGGGGAGATCATGAAAACAGTCAAGCTCGATAGTGCTGGGATCGTCGATAAGCTTTGGCGACTACTCAATGATCTTGACATGAGGTCTCAGGCTGAGGCGATTGCAATGGTATATTTTTACGGTCTCTCAATTCCTGTACATCATTTGCTAACAACATATAGTCATATGCCGATTCGCTTGCCCGAGACAATATTTCACCTGGTGAAGCCTTGTGGTATTATGCATTGGCTCATAATTCTGATAAAGTCAAGGACGTTCTTGATACCCTCATTCAACTATGTCTAGTTTACTCGACAGCTTACCCTTCAGAGTCTGAGCTCGATGACCACTTACAGCGTCTAATCTCCTCTCCAAAAGACGCTTTGAATGAAATGTCTAGCATGGATCTTGAAGCGGCAGAGCTTGTTCATACTTCGTTGAGTGGCTACGCAACACTTCGAAGATTTTATAGCCTCAGAGATCAAGAGGTCACATCATCACCAAGTTCTAAGCCACCAATGGGCGTAATCGCCAGAAGATCAGAAGCAGCCAATGCTTTACTAGCACTCATAATCAGTTCCGACGATAACATTCGTGGTGGCATCTACGATGAAGATCGTAAAGCCGTTATCCCCGTTCATTACATACTCGCACTCTTAGGCGAAGCCATGCCTTTCGTTAATCAACTCGATTCCCTTCTCAGCACCTCCCAAATCGACATTCTCCTCCGCACAATCGAAGATATCCAAGGAATCGGCCCTCGCATCTACTCCGTTTGCAACGCTTTTCTCGAAACAGTCATCAAGAGCGGCTCGGGTCTCAAAGGTTCTAATCCTATGGATTTACTAAGCAAATCGAGTTCAGGTACGAGTGGAAGTTTCGCTATGGTGGGTAGTTCGATGATGGCGTCACAATTCCACAAATCGGTTTCGGCGAGTGGATTGTTGAACAAGGGGGATATTAAGAGGGGATGGGATTGGAGAAATGGGATTACAGCGGGTATGACGGCGCAGGATATTTTGAGGGTATTGAGGTTGGGGTTGGCGAAGGATTTGGCGAGAGCTTGGTTGCAAGAGTCCGATGATATCTTGTGAGATGGAAAAGAGGATGTATGAATGGCATGTGAGAATTTTGCATTGGGAAACTTTGGCTGGCGAGGAGTACGGTTGGGAATCTAATATGAACAAGGACACAATAGGTCCTGTGGTTGGTAGCTGGGTGATGCAATCCAATGAAATGCCTTATGCATATAGATAGCGTTGTATCACATGGCATGCCTGGCGTTATGTCTCTGTCTGGGCGGAGAAATTGAATAGGAATAAAAAAAGTTTTGATACCCAGATTTTTTGCTTCGGAAATTTTGTGTATTCGATTACATCACATCTCATTCATGTTTTACATATATTCCTCATTCAATCCTCACTCATCTACATTTACCCTTCTATTAAAATGAAACTTAATCCTCCGTCCAGACGAGTTTAGCATCAACCGTGGTAGTTCCCGGTGACCTGCTCCACTGCTCCCCTGAGCTATTCCATCTCCCTTTACACTCGAGTAATGCAAATGCGGAATTCAATTAGTATATTACTCGAACAAATCCGTACAAATGCTCAAGAACGCACTTGTGGATTTTTGATCGCATTAGTTCCAGTTTGGTTGTGGTTCGCGGTCGATAATCAATGATCAGAAGAGAACATAGATGATGATGAGCATGCGGGACTTTAGACTATGTTACTTTTAGAACGTTTGAGAGAGCGACGATTATCTTGTTTGAAATTTTTGAAATGAAAAATGTTTAAAATGAAAAATATGTAAAGAAAGTTTGTGAAATGAGATAACTAGTGTGTATATACTTTTTTAGTCTCTTGGTTTTATAGGTTAAAATTATAGATAATTATTCTTATTTTTTCTTAATTCCTTTATTTTCTTGAGCTCGATTGTCTTTTCTAGATTTCTAGATAATATTTGAAGTCTAATTTTTTGTAAAACAGAATTAACTTTCTTATTATCTCAATATATAACTTAAGCTCTTGTAATATATGTATATATAACTAATGAATTTTACTACAATTTATCATATTCCCACTCAAAAACCCATACAGATCTTTCTGAAACTAATCTTAAATTGCGGAAGCACAGTGGCCTATATGCCATTTATATAGGATAATTAATGATACTAACAGCAAAGCGCCTACCTGAATATTTATATATACCATCAAGTTCCAATCCCTCATCCTCCTGAAAAATTATCAAGATGACAATTAGTCTACAAACCAGGCATCAAACAGAGAGTGAAGACGAAAGCGGAAGAAAACAACTCCATCAAACAGTAATGAATATGATCAAAAGGAGATAGAATAAATATCAGAGAAATGTCATTGCAATTTGGTAATATAGATTAGAGCTCGAGGCAGGTAATAATACCATGAACACCATGGTATTATGATATATAAGTTTGGAAGCGGGGGAGATTCAGATTTATAGTTTATGTAGGATCTGGAAGAAAAAGGAAAGAGGAAGATAGAGCAAGGGAAAAGATCTAGAGGCAAAAGAGTAAAAGATATAGTTGTGATTTCGGGTCACTTAATTATAAAAAGTTGATTTGGGGGGTGTTTGTGAAATTTATAGATAAAGAGGAAAGTGGGAGAGAGAGAAAGAAAAATTGTACTTTGTATTTGATATAGTATACTGATGGATGATGGTTGGTAGGGTTATCTAACTGTACGAAGTGTAGGTTTAAGATATATATAGTATATAAATACTTCATACTCACAAATCAACACTACCTACCTACCTGTACTTACACCACCCTAGAGAGATAAACAGATACAAAGTATTTCCTAAAACAAAGTTATCTTCCAGCTAAAAATTGCTCTCATGCTTTTGCCCTTATACTTCTCATACCTACAGGTAAACCTTCCACTCGCTTAAAACCCAGGGCTCCCAGGGGTAAGATCATAAGATTATATCCTCCCCTTCTCTCAAAAATATATATCATTATACTCTATAAGTAAATCAACTCTTTACCATTCTTCATCTCCAGCTTCGATTTCATATCGATATCATTCCTTCCTTTGTTTCTTTTTTCTTTTCTAAAAAAAAAGATTTAGGACAGATAGTCTTTTATTCCTCTTCATCCTTATCCTCTTCATCCTTATCCTCAAAATCAATACCACTCACCACACCTAACAAAGCAATAATAACCACTCCCCCCTCCCAAACTTCCCAACCCCCTCAAATCACCCTTCCAATTCCCGACTCTCAACTCCAATCCACCACCTAACAATAATAACAAAAACCAAAAACACACCACTAAAACAAACATCTAACCTCACTGATTTAACATATTCTATAATTTAAACATTGGAACAAAAATCCTAAATTAACATTGCAAAAATATCTTATTCTATTGAGCTGCTACTTTAATGAATGAGTGTTTTTTAAGGAAGATTAAATTATAAATATTGGGTTCCGTCAACTTTTTCTCTTTTTTTGGGGCTAGGAGCAGTTTCTCAGATGCATTAACAGCACAAAAATGATGGATTTGTTTCCCATTTTCTGGTAAGTCAAGGTAAATTGAGTGGAGTTTTTTACTTGAATTTCTTAGTATATCAAGTGGTATGCTTATATCCACTCATTTACCCATTTAGCAGTACATTCATATCTCCATTTCATGTAAGAGGAGATTTAGATTAGATCCTCTTAATCTATTCCCTCCAATATATCTTTCATGATGTTCATCATGGAGGTTTTCCCCTCCTTCGCTTGATCGTTCTATCTTACTCCCATATGTAAGTAAATAAAGGTGTCCTTGACGCCATGCATACGCATGCATTCTTAACTATACAATATCTTACATCTCCTTAAATTCTCTCTCCATAATCCTCGTCGAGCACATGCAAACTAAGGCAACGCCCTCATAACACCTTCAAATGCCACAAGCGCAACTGCATTCGCCGGAAACGCCCTCAAAAAACACGGTAGAAATCCCCTCCAATATCCCTTCCATCCATTCTCCCTATAAACCGCCGTAGCGGCACTTTTCCAATTCGGGAACCTTCTAACTCCGTCCCCTAATCCGCCTGCTAATGGATCTGTCATAATCCGTTGTTTTACTACGTCACTTGGATAACTCGTCATCCAGAAAACTTGTGCTGAAAGACCTCCAGCCCCAGAAATTAACGGCAGGTGTACTAAGGGATGTACGTTTGGAAAGGAGACGCGTGAATACATCGTAGGAACCCCACCAGAAGAAGAAGAAAGAGCGAAAGAATAGAGTAGCGCCAAGTCCATGGTAAAGACCCTGGTATACCATGGTATCGATAGATTTTACGGGCGCAGTCAATAGGACCGCTATATAGACGCTCAGATTTCTTACTCGAGTATTGAATTTGTAGACGTGCTTTTAGATGTTCGACGGGAGCGGCAATGAAACTTACGGTTGCGCCAGCCATGACTCCGGCGAGGGCGTGGCCTAAAGAGGGTAGTTTGTGTATTTGTGAGGGATCTGTCAAGAGGGGATCTGGACGGGCGAGACTGGATGGGGTGGCGGCCATGCGAGAGGGGGAAAAGAGGGTTTGATGTAGGAATTTGCGGTAAAAGGTTAAGGAACCTAACATTATACTATCCATGAACATCCAGCCTACTAGAGGGGGAGTAGCGCCTTTATAGAGACCAGTGAAACCTTCATTGCGAAGGGTGAGAAGGAGACATTGCAGTGGCCCGTTGAATTGAGATGCGGTAGAGGTTTGAAGACGGACTTTTATGGTATCGAATGGATGCCCAACTGTTCGTAGTATACTATTAGTATTTACTCTTGACTTTCTCATAAACAGAGATCCCAATTGACAACCGCAATTGCAATCGCATCCACAAAACCATCCGAAATCCGCATCTCAACATTCCCAAAGTACAAATAAGAAACCACAATTTACCATACCAGTAAGTTTCGAAACCCCCGAGAACACACCCGCGACGAATCCTCTATAATTCTTCGCTTCTCTCTTCTTCTCTACCCTTTTCTCCCCGGCATTTATACCCCCACCAACTCCTCCTATCTGCAACGGCGGCATTGTGGCAGATTCATTCGTAGTCATATTCTCGAGTGCCTGTGTAGGCTATTCGAACACGAGTATGCGACTCTGTCGCAAACATTAAGTCTTATCTGCTTCCGTTCAAACTGCACAGAGCACGATGAACAGATAGAAAGATAACGTTGTGAGTAAAATCGATTGAGCTTGCTTATTAAAACAGCGATTGAGATATAGCAATCGTAGGATATGGCTTATGTACCTCGATTTGATCAGCCGTGCAGCAAGGATCTTGGATCAGAGCATGGATTAATAATAGATTTCTTCTGATCTGTTTGAATGGATGACGGGTTGAAAGTCTGAGAGTGAAAGTGGTGGACATGGATGTGAAGATTTATCTGGCGAGATCGGAATTGTTTGTTTATCATTCATATTTTTTATATAGTCAAGTTGATAAAATAGCAGGTATTCATTGGTTGGATAAGCAATACTTGGAGAATTGCATTAGCTGATTAGATACATATGGAGTACAGTACCAAGAAGGAACGACCCGAACACAGACCGACTAAAAGGGCCAAAAGCAGCAAGGGATAGGAAAGAAGAGGAATATATTAAATAGGAAGGAGGGGCATATTTGAATGATGGAAGTGGGGGTGAATTTTCAGCATCCCGAGAAACTGTCATGTTATTGTCTACCGGCGGATGAAAAGTACTAGGTATGTCAATTGAGATGGACGAATGATGAATCCAACTACCTAGCACCTACTGACTAATATCTCTCATTCCAATTCTCGAGGTTTGCGATGGATATTTATAAGTAGCATGGTAGAATCTGCCACAATCGGCCCCTTTGCGCCCTTGGGAGCCAATAATCAGAGCACATCTTTTCTTTTCTTCTCTTTCTTTCCTTACCTTACTATTGTTATTACTATTTAAAAAGTTTCTGCGCACTTTCTTTTCTTGACCGAAAATTGTTTGTTTACGATTGCGAAAGTATTGAATACTTTGATCATTTCATTACACTTAATACATCCCATCTGATACCCATATATCTCAGCAACAAAATCTTCAAAGTTACTTAACATTTCAGGAAAATGACATCCTCCGAACGAGTCACAGAGTCCAAAAAGGGTATGTTTATTGTTCACTACCTCAGGAACTATTGGCTTATATTCAACTAATCATATCTCATCTCTTATGTTGACATTCACTAACAAACTCTTCTCGATAGTCTGGACAACCCTCATAACCAACACTGCCTATCTCTCCGGTCTCCTTACTCTTGACTACTCGCTCAAAAAACATAATTCCAAATATCCTCTCGTAGCTCTCTACACCGATGCCTTTCCCCCCGAAGGCCACGCCGCTCTTGAAGCGCGCGGAATTCCTAAACAGCGCATTGAATATCTCCTTCCCAAAAACGGTGGAAAAGATTATTCCAACGATCCCCGTTTCTATGATTGTTGGTCCAAACTCGCGCCATTCAGTTTAATCGAATATGACCGCGTGGTACAACTTGATAGCGATATGTTGGTTTTGCAAAATATGGATGAGTTAATGGAGATGGATCTTGATGCGCCGGAGATGGCGGGAAAGGGGGATAGAGTTTTTGCAGCGGGGCATGCTTGTGTTTGTAATCCGTTGAAGAAAAAACATTATCCTGCTGATTGGTATGTTTCCTCCTCTCAGCATTATTCCTGCTGGAAAAGATTCGGTATATTAACAAAAGCCCAGGATCCCTGAAAATTGCGCATTCACATCCCAACACAATACCCCAGATGTAGCACAAACCACCGGTCCACCACCTAACACCTCACCTCTCGGTTTCATGAACGGCGGTCTCCAAGTTGTAAACCCCTCTTCAGGAGTTTACAATGCTATCCTCGATCATCTTGCCTCAGACGCAGCTATCAATATGGATTTCGCAGATCAATCTCTCCTCTCCGACTTATTCAAAGATCGTTGGGTTCCACTTCCTTATATTTATAATGCGCTCAAGACGTTGAAATGGGAGGGTGTCCATCCACAAATCTGGAGAGATGACAAGGTGAAGAATATTCATTACATTCTAGCGCCGAAACCATGGGATGAGATGGATAAGGAGGGTAATTTTATAGGGAAGGATGGTACACATGCATGGTGGGTGACACATAATCAAGAGAGATTAAGAGGGGAAAAGGAGAGAGGAATTAAAGTTGATGGGTTTTAGACGGGTGGTTTGGGGTTTTATGATTTGGAGAAAGGTAGATGGGTATGGGCGTAACTGGTTACTGGGCCATGTCTGCTTGGCATGCATATGAATATCGATATCGATAAACTTGAATGGAAGTTAGAAAAGTCTTTTATAAACTTTATTTCGCAAATCATTAAGGTTACCCATTCGCATTCTAGAGGCATTTCTCGGTTATCATTTATATTTCGGTACATCTCTCTGTTTCTTTAACCTTAACCTTAACTCTATGCATACTTCTTAACCATAACCTTAACCCAATATATAGTTGATTGGCTGATTGGTCGATCAGTTAGCTAGTTGATTAAAGATACCTTGGATACATTACTTACTTCCTCGCTTAGTAATATACAAATAAATAGACAAATAGACAAACGAATGGTCTTAGTCGGTATTGTAGATGTTAGATGGTAGGTGGGTGTATATGTATAGATCAAGGCGGGATTTTTATTTTGGATATTGGGTGTTGGATTGGGTAAGTCTTGGGTATTGGGTATTGGGTGCTGGGCGGGATGGGTGAATGGGACAGGGAATGGGAAGTAGGGAAGGGGAAGTAGGGAATGGGAAGTAGGGAATAGGTGATGAGGGGTGAGAAGACTGATGGAGGAGGAAAAGAGATTGAGAGAAGGGAATGAGGATAAAGGGAAAGAAGAGGGTTAGAAATGGGGTTTAGAGTGGATGTTATGGGGAGAGGGCCGGGGATGGAGATAATGGGGGTTTTATTTAATAGTACGGTATACATAGTGTATGAAATAGCCTGGCCTTACGGGGAAGGGAATTCAATGCAACCGAGAGGAAATAGAGATTTAAATAAGTTGTTTAAGGTTATTGTTATTTATTCGAGAAATAAAAGGGGAGATGGAGAAGTAGAAATTTGGGAAATTTGATTGGATTTTTTTACCCATTCATGGGGAATGTTTTGAATTCTAATGGATATTCTTGCTTGTGG